ATATTGTTAGCTTAAACACGGAGCAATGTAAGTTTCCTGCCATTTCCTGACTTTCCTGCCATTCATTGGCAGGAATTCCTGACATTGCAATGCAGGCGCATTCGATCATTTTAGACTTACACAAGTCCCCTTTTCACAATATTACAACTTGTAGGTACAAAGGTTGAAGTAATTAGTTTTTTTTATATAGCTTAAGTTCTAATTGCAGAAAGTCATGTTACTGTAACGTAATTGCGATAGTAATGTTACATCAGGGATGTAAAAAGCGTCCCTGGTGATTTACATACATGTCACCTATAAGTAATTTTACTCCTCCGGAACACTTCTAGCACTTTTTCATGAGTCTCCCTGCAAATCTTTCTTTTGTTCATTTTTTTTTTATTGAATTCGAGTTTCGATTATGATTATGAACTGAAATTTACAGTTTATTCATAGTTTGCCCCGTTTAAATCCATTTAGATAATCTATTCGCTATTCACAACTGGAACATTGCATTTGTAGATGAATTAAACACCAACTAATATTACTCACTCCTAGTCCTCTTTCTCCTTTCCTAATCCATGTAATGTGTTTATATTGAAAAATTTATAGCAAACTATGTTCGAAGAATTAATGCACTGAGACATCTTTAAAATGTAATTTTGTTTTGAGGGGGGATGTTGTATATATATATATATATAATGGGTGAAGTGATGGGAAATAATTGTTTGGTCTTATCGCTCCATCGCTCATTGGATTAGGTACGATTCAGCATTTAGTTTTATTGATATTGGAACTCTTTGGTATAAAAAGTTGCGAAAAGGAATAAAAATAAATTGAAAAGAGGGACTCAGCACTCTGGACAGGTTTGTTTATTGTCATTTGTTACCCTACCGAATTCCCCGACCACATTAGATATGCCTCTGAAAGATGATGTATCGAAACACTTAACAAACGGATAAAATCTACAATTTAACTATATACTACATGTCTTCAAGTTCAACTGAAACATTGAAGAAATTTGAATTATTTTTGCCAGTCCTTTAACAACCAAGATACTTATAAATGTACCAAGTTGACACTTTATTCCCAAACTTTTGGACGGTTAGGGTGGGTGAGAGATAACTTTGACTCCATTTGGACATCGCTTGATATTCAGTGTCCTATATCTATTCAGAAAAAAAAACTGTATATAACGTCAATCCTTCGTGTATCTTAAACGTTGAGCGGAAACTAAAGTTAGGCAGGTATTTTGTATTACCGTTCACACGTATGATGTTTACATGTCACAGGCGAATCGATGTGCGAGGGATTATTCCCAATACCACAATTTTCTTCTAGATGTCGACATGTTCATTACTCTCCATGTGATTTTTTTTCTTTAATACTTTGTCCTTATTTTAATCAGGGACGTAGATAACAAAATTTTCGCTTCAGTTAATATATATTACTATTCCCGGAGTCAGTAATGTTGTATACATTAGCCTATGGAAATAATTCTTTTGAAACGAAATATGAAGTGTTTGATAGATTAAAAAGTGGAAATGGGACCATTAAATGTACACGAGATGGCCAATTTGCTGGAATATGTTATCAATGTATTATTCGATCGTGAGAGTTATTTCCACTGATGTAATTTTCTGGATATTAATAAACGTTTTCGTTTTCATTTTATTACTATTTACCTGGTTCAGGCTATAATGTTCATAAATGATTGTTATGTAATAGCGATAATGTGCTTAGAGTTACTTAAAGTTTGTTTCCAGTACAGAAACTCACTGTTCCTCTTCACTGGTCTCGATACTTTGTTCGGATTCTAGGGTGGGTCTGTCACTTCCTGATGTCACTGCTTTTATTTTTGCCCTATAGTTGTACAGCAGCCCTTGGTTTTTCTATATAACTTATCCAGTCTGTTTTTGAAGGTATTTGAATTTGGTGCCGTGACCACCTCTTCTGCAAGGTTGTTCCATATTCTACGCACTCTCAACGAGAATAAAGTTTTGTCTTGAGCTTGTTCTTGCCCTCTCTGGAAATAACTTCTTGGACCTACCTCTGGAGCTGTTCCTGGCAGTGACACAGTCCCAAGGTTTAAGAATATTATCACTTTCTCTGTCATATACATGTTGACAACCTTGTAGGATTCTATCACCTTGCAGGCACCAGTAAGCTAATGTGGGTAGCCACAACTTCCTCCGTCTTTCCTCATACATGAGATCCTTCAACCCTGGGATTTGCTTTGTAGCACTTCTCGGTACCCCTTCCACCGTTTAAGTGTATTGTTAAGGAGACCAGACGGAGCTGGCAAAATCTAGACGATCCCATACTAACGTTTTATTTACTTTTCACTAAAAAGGTTTTGGAAGGCAAGATTTGAGTCCACCAATATGCCTACACATGGAGTTTGCTTTATTTACTTTTCACTAATATGGTCTTGGAAGGTGAGATTTTGAGTCCAATATGCCTACATATGGAGTTTGCTTTATTTAATTTTCACTAATATGGTCTTGGAATGTGAGATTTGAGTCCACCAATATGCCTACACACAGAGTTTGCTTTATTTACTTTTCACTAATATGGTCTAGGAAGGTGAAATTTGAGTCCACCAATATGCCTACATATGGAGTTTGCTTTATTTAATTTTCACTAATATGGTCGTGGAAGGTGAGATTCGAGTCCACCAATATGCCTATATCCTTTTTGCTGTGTGGGCAAGCACTTGGTTACATATAGTTTTCCTCGATACACTTGTGCTTACATTTTTCGAATGCTTGGGAAATATTACTGAAATCATGACAGGTAGAGTTTTCTTTCTATTTTGTTTCTCAAATTTTCTTATATTTTATAATCATAAGACTGGTATTTACAAAGAAGTGAGTTTTTTAGCAAACAGTATTGTAAATATTAACAATTAGTCATTTAAAAGTGTACCAATTGTAAAATGTAATGCAATTAATTGGTTTATAGTTGAAGGGAGCTTATTTATCGCCCCTCTTAAAAACTGGCATCACTACAGTATGTTTCCATCATGAAGGAAAAGATGTCTCCAAAGAAGGATCTAAAATAAAAGGCAAGGAGAGGCTTTAAAGCATAATGTAATTACTGGTAATTTATTATTTCTTCAACGTGTGTATAGGAGATTGGAAATGGAGAAGTTTACTGTCCCATCTGGAGTACCACAATCTTTACAGACTTCTAACCATCTAGGAATATTGTCAGCTATTGATATATTGAGATAAGTCTATAAAATACAGCCTACATCAAACTACAAAACTACATGCTCTTGGTAAGACAACTAACTTCTAAGACTACAAATATTTGAATAAAAATAATATCTTTAGAATGACCACTGGGACCTGGGTTTGGACGAATGTCTTAACTAGGAAACAGTAGATGCAAAATTAAAAAAAAAAAAAAATTCAACAATGCTAGACAAGAACAACTGAGCAGTACATGCTAATTTTACTGTAGTATTCATCATACAAGACCTGAACCTGCATAATAATTCAGGGAGATTAACATGAACTTACTGTTGAATATCAAATATAAAAAAAGTTATCATTACACAACGTACAATGAAAATCCTTTGAACAGGGAGGAAGAAATTGTCACCTGTAAAGCAGATTGTGACATTTCGAAGTGTTTAATAGGGTGTGGCTATCAGGATTATGAATGTAATCAAATTCAAGGAAATATTATCTAGGTTACAGAGGTTGATGATGACATACAATTCTTGATAGTTGGACAATCAGAAAATAATTTTATCTATTAGAATAGACAACAGAACATATAATTAGCTTATATTTTAATAGCAGTAATTCAAGTTTGTACATTTATACCCTTTCCGATACCCCGAACCTGCAGTGTACATTTTATCATACGATACATATGATACAGTTATAACAAAGGTAGATATCTTACGCAGGTTAATAGGTTAAATGATAACACTTCCATACAATAAAGCAGTTCCATTTAGAAATTTCTTTGAATTACCCAAGATTAACAAGTTAAGCTCTCAACATCCATATTTCCAATCGCCATAATTTTTTTTTTTACACAAAGTTAAAAGTTCTACAAAAAATACTTAGAAATCCGTTTAAGTCATGAAGGCATTATTTTACTATCTTGTCTCGTGATAGGTCGAAGTTTAGACTTGACACAAAATTAACTATTTCATAGGCTTTTCACAACATCTTACCTCAAGTTCAATAATTCAAGCAGTTTATATATTACATATTTAGACTCTAGACTGTACAACTCCAGATCATTTATTTGTATTACCTGAAGAAAACCTTTCTAAACATGACCCCTTCTTAAACCCAGAAGAGGACATTTGATACTATTTTCTTACTACTACCAAAAGCAAATGTATGCAATATGCAAATGATGAAATATCATCACAGTTACTGAAAAAAAAGTCATTTCAAATAACTTAACAAAAATGACCCATGTAACCTTAAAAACAAGTCAAAATCATTCATATTATCCAAACTGCAGGCTAACGACCAGATGGTCTTACATGTGAAATCCGAAAAAGCCATTTTAAACTTTGACCCCTATCAAGAACTGGAAGTTGAAATTATACAAAAAATGTTTCCCGAGAAATGTTATTTATTTGTTATTTTACGTCACATAAGATGAATCCAATATGTTCATTTGTTATTGCAACTTGAGGCAAAATCTGATATGATGCCATTTTGTTTTTTGATGAAGTTGAAAACGTCACTAAATGGTAGACAATGACATCTTGGTAAACCTTTCCCATAATAATTAAACAAAATAAAAGTATTTGATATAGGTCTAAAACAAGTTTTACCAATATGTCAGCATTTTAAAAGACCAAAAGAAAATTCAAAATGGGTCCAACGTTAAATGTAAATGCTTAAGAAAAACTGAAGATATCAAATTCATTAGAATGACATTTGTCATCTTTCTGTTGAAGAATTTAAAAAAATAAAACAATTTTTTTTTAAAAAATGAATAAAAAAAAAAAGGAAAAAATGAAAAAATTAAAATTTGTGACCTTTTACCCAACAGTAAGCTTTCTTTAAATGACTTATTCTGTATTAACATATAATGTAAAAAAGTTAGATATGGGAATTATCTACAAATAATATATATGATTGAATTCTGTATAATCAACAATTTTCGTGATATGGCTACTTTAAAATTCTTACCATATGACGTCGATGGTGGTCATATTGGATTTATGACCAACTTAAAAATACTACATCTACAGATATGTACCCATAAAGAACTAAAGAGGCTGTAAACCTATCTCTTACTGATCATAAATTTGGACTCCACAAATTTCAGAATGATAATAATAAAAAGAAACATAAATTTCAGAATAATATTAATAAAAAGAAACATAACAATAACAATGTCTTTTCACCAGATAGTGAAAAGCCCTGATAACAATGTAAATTTATCTTGTGAACAACTAACAAAGTGACAAGATATTGTATAAGGCAATATAAAGGCGATAGTTTACATATAATCTTCATATGTTGTGTACGTTATGTTTATACAATTGTATTGTTATAGAAGGAATGAACATTGGGAACAACAGGCAAAACTAAATCAGTCGCTTCTATGGAATGAGTATGAAACAGTGAACGCATTCAATGATAACAATCTTGAAATGACTTTGTATCAATTTAAATGACACAGGTTCTCGCAAGGATTGAGATGGAAGGGGCCAGGTACATAGAATATAGGAAGACAGACCAATGGAAGTAAAAGATTGGAAGACAAAACGAGGAACATAGGTATGACCTATACAGTGCTCCAGATAACTTTTTGACATGTGGGGTTTTCACTCCTACCTTTATAAATTGAGGGGTTTTTTCACCCCTGCCTTCATCAAGTGTATGGGTTTTTCCATATTAGGGTAACACTGAATTTGTAAACATTTTTGAGAGCGCCATATTTGCTATGCGACTGGTTTATAATCACGATCAAGTAAGCGCTTGTTACGAGTTTCGTTTACTTGATAAGTGTCTGTTTTCTAACTACGTAATATTGGAGCCGGACATTGACGCAGAGTCCGGATTTCGCACTGGTTTTCCTAGCGTGAAATTAGAAATATTGTGCGTGAAAACGCATTCACGTAGGCTATCTGGAGCACTGCTATATCTATGCAACATCCGAAGCATATATACAGCATTGATGAAGTTAATACATCATTATAAAATATGTGTTCTATTCCATTAAGTAGTAAGTGGTCTGCTATTATCAGTATTAAGAAATATAAAAAATAAATATATGTCTGGCTGTTGTTTTAATCCTCACCCATTCTCTTACTTCATTATGATCATTGGGTGCGATCGATGACAACTTCATCTACTATCTACAAGTAACTTTTGAATTTCTAATCTTGTACATTTATAATGGTGATCTTGTTGGACTTCAATGGTGATGTTTTCGACTTTCATTTATAACGAGCTTCTGAATTTGTATAAAGACGAGCCTTCCATTGTAAATTAACATTTTAGAATGTCAACAGAATTAATTACAATATTGATAACATCTACCTGTAACTTAAGTGTATTCAGAATTCATATCACAGATACCTGAAAATAATCCATTACATTCAAAATACTTTCCAAAAATTTCCAATGAACTAAATCTGGTTTAAATCTGGATCTGCAGCCTTACAAACTCTTGTAAATTTTCTAGACCTGGGTAACAGATGGGAGATAGGAATACTCTATATCATAGAGTGACACAAATCCATCAGCACTGGTTACTGCTAGAGTCGTCCCGTCCATACTCGTGCACATTTGAGTGTCTATTTCAGCCGATCCTTCCACCGAAATCTGATTAGGAAGGACCTTTACAAGTTGTCCTGAAAATGATGCTACTGTAAGATCTCCATTTCTGCTGTCTAAAATTAGAAGCAAATCCATTTCATCAACTATGGCAATGCCTTGTTGTTTTGAAAAACTCAATGCAGCATGCCCAACAAAAGTCTTCTTATTAATATGGTTTGTATCACTGGATTTGAAGAATATTACCTTTGATTTATCAAGGTCACTAAGTATTAGATCAAAAGGTTTTGTCACAACAATGTTACGTGGGCTTTGGCAATAATCTACAGGAATCTTTCTCCTAACGCGTCCTTGTAAGTCAATCACATCAATTCTTGTGGAACAAAATGGTGGACATAAGCAACCAATTAAAAGCTCTGTCTCTTTATGAAAGGCTATGTAAGCATACTGACCCGTTGTTAGAGCCTTGCGAACACTGATTTCCTCACCTTGTTTCAAAGCTGGATCACGGAGGAAAAGCAACTGTTTTTGTTTTGGAGCAGTGACAACGCATTCGACATCAGATACAGCAGCAACATCCCAAGGTTCCACATATCCAAAATCATGGACATTCAACAACCCTCCATGTTGACTGAGAACTTTCATGCAATAGTTCGACCGGTCGAGTACAACAAATGTGTCACCAACAGTTGCTATAGCTACTAGAGAAGGGATATTAATGTCCCCAGAAAGCTGGATATCAATGTAGTCCTTGTACTGTAACCTTGCGATCCCATCTTTGACATGTGGATCAACTGCGGACTCTGCATTGTTAGCCAATGATCTGTCGGATACAATATTGCTGTGGTCAATAGTAGATTCAGAAGATCCTGTAGAGTGATAATAATGGCTGCCAGGACCACTCCTTAGTTCAGATTCTGGAAGTGGTGGAGCTGATGGCTGTGTGAGAGTAGTGGAAGGGAGATTCATGTTTTGTGGTAATGTCATAGGTGGAGCTGTAGGAAGAGGGCGCTGGCCAGAAGATGGACAATTTATTTCCAGGGAGGGCTGTTGTAATACACATTCATATGTAGGTAGGCCTTCTTCATCTTCACCTAGTAAACCTGACTCTGATATGCCATCTTCTCCAGGAGAATCAGGATTTTCATTGTCTTCAAAGGTCACAATATAGGGTCCTGAGTGGCAGCTGTCAATCACTTCAATATTAACAATGTCTACGTTTGTCATTTTGTCCTCAAGTTCTGTATTAATCATAAATCTCAAGTCAAATGACTTCATCAAATCGGACTCTAAATCAGGTAAAATATCTGTAAATGATCCCATAATCTTGGACAAATCTCCTGCAAGAATCATGTTCTGTGATGGTTTTATTGACGTCTGAAGCAGCAAAGCTATGATTAGTTTCTGATGAGCATCTAAAGAAGTAAGCAGTGAAGAACATACAGAGATGTCATCATCTAGGTACATTTTCTCTTTTTCTTCTAATTCTTTTGCCTTTTTCAATATTTTATCTTCTTGTTGTTCCAGATAGTGAATAACATTTTCCTTCAAATCTGCATAATATGCCTTCACTGTTGATTCCGTATTTTCTCGGTCAGGGATGGCATGTTCTAGTTTTGATACCAATTTTCCATGAAGCAACTGAGTACGTGACTTAACCGTCTCTATGTCTGTCGAAATTTGCCGCATCCTGTTGTAGCAACTGGTTTCCATGGTTTTTGTGATGGTCTCGAGATGACATCCTCGATGCATGTTTACTCTACACCGAGGACATACGAGTACGTTGCATGCCTCACAATAATACGAGCAACGGTTCCTTGGATGAATGGAACACAATGGAGACAATACACCATTTGACGATTGGATAGCAGGTCGTTCATTTTCGTCACTGTAAAATTGGCGTAAGTTTCTTGTCAGGGAATCCTCTTCTAAGGCTGACAGCATAGTGTCACTCACTTCTGTTTCTGGTTCCTGTGGTGTATGCTTATACTTGCAAACAGGACAGTGGAATAATGTCTGACCGAAGTATTCACTGATATAGCCAATCAAACATTCATGGCAGAAGATATGCTGGCACTTTAGCTTTTTGGGATAACTTACAGACTCGTGGCATATACCACACTGGCATAAAGATTGAAGTATCACATCCATATTGGTTCTATTATATCCTTTTTTCCTTATTCTGTTGTTTTGAATCAATGAAACTTTTTATAGCTTGGTTCCGATCCATGCAGCGTGTTGTTGTCTTCATTCATTCTGAAATGCAAAAATAATTTAGTAAACATTTACAGTGGTGAATGATTGTGGTTTAATTGGTACATATTTAATTATTACAATGTAGATGTTGCGATGTATGTATATATATATTTCAATTCATTTATAGAAGGACTGAAAATGTTAGCAATTACTAGATTACGTGCTGTTGATTTTTATGTCTACACATTAAGACATGCCTAACTATACCGTAAGTGTAGAGCATGCTGTAAATGAGACTATTTCTTGTACATGTTCATGTAACCAGTTTTGAACATCCAAATACTTTAATACAAAAGAGCAATTTTGTATAAGGCTTTATACCAGAACTACAATACAACAATGCAGACTAAAATATGGTAGACCTATCACCAAACAATCATAATTTAATCTTAACATTATGCCTTTATCAACAAAACATAACTCCTACTTTTATTATTTTCTTTATTCACGATGAGAAAAAACATATTTTTTTCCATGTCATACACGTACATGCTATGTATAATTTCTCGTTGGATTTCTATTCTGTTCCTTTTCTGTTCAAAATACATCAAATGATTATTTTAGAAACAGAAATTTTCGGTCTATGTAATATGTCTATGTAATGCATATAGTTTTTAATTTAAATAATGAAATGTTAACATAATGACAACAAATGTTGATTTTTTTTCTCGCGAGTGTAGTTTACAACATTTGGAAGAAAAAAAATCAAATATTTATAAAAATGAGAACACAAAATGACCAATTCACAATAACTGATGAAGACATGTGTAAATTATAACACGTCTTCATCAGTTCTTGTGAATTGGTCATTTTGAGCTCTTAATCTTTTAAAAGCATTTAATGACTTACCTGTCAGGTACACAAGTTCTGAGGGGAAATCATTCTCGGAGAGCAGAGGCGTAGCAATAATGTATGCTTGTATGCTTAAACATATACTCGAATTCCCATTGAGATATATTTGCCCTACTTTTTTAACGTTACTGCGCCCCTAGACCCCCTTAACCGGGGCTTCGCCCTTGGATCCTCTCTTGAAAGCATACACTCTTAAAAATGTTTTGCTACGCCACTGGAGAGGACGAGATGCTGATGGCGTTCCACGTACATAATCAAAATTCAAGGATCTTCCAACCTGACAAGTAGTCTGTTTAAGTGTTTATGGAGACAGTCATTTTATTCCGTATACAAACCTGCAAATACGCCCACAGTTCATCATTAAATTTCATACCTGTTGCAAGAGCTTTTTTACATCTGCAGAAAAAGCGGTGGCTTTTCGGAACTCCTCGCCACATGAAAGCGTCTGTGCGACCGTGATCCTGTTGAAAGCACGTGGAAGATTTTCTCAAAATGTCAACAGAAGGGAGTAAGCAACCGTCTTTTAAGAATCTAACGACGGTTAATTATGCCATTCCAAAAGAATATCAGCATTTGGTATGATACTTATTTGTATTTTTACTGTTACTCTACTTGTTTCCCAAATACTGGTAATGTTACAGAGAGCAGAGTGTGTTCTTTTAAAGTGTTTGTCTACTCATCGTTTCTACCACATAACCAGGTTGGCTTATATTAGAGTCATACAATGCAGGTTCCAATTCTTAAGATCCGTTTTGTTCAGTAATAGATACCTAACTGTGGAGACGTGAAGGTCTATTAGGCAAAATCAAGGAAAAAGACCAATCTTGCATAGAACTAATACTGATACTACAAAGATGGGTGAAAAAGGAAGCTTTCTGTGATCTCGTGCATTTTTGTTTTGTTTCACAAATATCTGTTACATATATGCCATGAAGATGTTTGTATGTTTTTCATTTTGTGTCATTACAGCCTTTGCAGGAACTGACGAAACCTCATGTAGAATCATTTAACTTTTTCTTGAAGGAAGGCTTATCTACAGCAGTCAAGGTAGGTTTATAGATTAAAGATCAACCAGTAGTGTGTAATCACTTAATATTAATCCTGAGAGACGTTTATGAAGTTGTAAATATTCTCAGTAGCCAAATCAATAGTGGTAAATTTCATACCATGGAACATTAGGCCAACAAAAAATATTAATCTTTTCCTGCAGCCCTACCTACCCAATCTATTTTGCACACACACATATATATATATATACCTATACAATTGTTTTGAGACAATTTTCTAAAGTCAAGATCTTTCAGCTTAAAAAAATTCAAATATATATTACAGAAAACACATTTTTGGCTGGCCTAAAATAGATATGAATATAGCTCCATCTGAACGAAATAACACTTAAGTTCATGCTTTACTGACTACCATGCTGTCAACAATACATACAAGATTTAATTATGATCCCTTCACAGAAATTACGGAGATGATATAGCATCACAGTTATTGGTCTGTATATTGTATATGTGTCTGTTTGTCTCACCAGTGTGTAAACCTTGAATCTTTGAACAAAAATTTGGTTACTTATTGCTTAACTAAATTTTACCTAAACTAAATCAGATAATAGGTAAATTATAGTTTACTGTATATTAATATACAATTTTGTATATCTATGTACATCAAAACTGTTTTTTCTTCAGAATATTCCATCTACAGAGTTTGCTTTACCAAATGGAGACCGTGTCAGGTTTAAAGTGTTGGTAAGATTTCTACATCTTTGCTTTTTACAATTCTTCATGATTTGATGATGTCATCATAATCTCTGAAATGGATATATTTTCTTTTGTTATAAACGTATCATTCTGACTCTAACATTATACTTACTCAAAATTTCAGTATTGTTACACAATTCAAACATTGGTAATAATGAATGAAGTCTGTTTATCCTAGTCAGTGTTTTTATTGCTACAAGAGATTTAAAGAAATTTTCTGAGAATCCTGGAAGTGAATACTTCTTTGTTTTAGTTTAGATTGGAATACACTGAAGGATACTATGAGGTTATTTTTTTATGAAGGAAAGTTGGTCAGTTTTTTTTATTTATGTATACTTACCATTGTACATTCAATGTCTTACAGAACTGAATTTAACAGATGGAAAGATTACTTATTATCAATGTTATTTGCCTTGAACATAGAGTGTATTACCTCTAACATTAATTCTAGCTTTTGTTTCTTTTATATTTGTTAAGTCAAAATACTAGTGAAGAAGGAATGACAGTCTGATTATAAAATCAATGTCAATGCTAAAGTTAAAGTTGAAAGAAATATTTAAAAAAAAAAGTGAAATCTTTCTATTTGTTTGCATTTGATCAGGATGCCACCTTATATCAGCCCAGGGTTGCTCAGGGCAACAATTACGCTGTTACACAAAGAGTGTACCCAGCTGAGGTAATGTAAAGTGCATATTTTAAAAGCAGTATATACCATTTTTAAAAGGAATCAGAAATTTTCAATATATATTTTAATATATTCATATTCAGCTTTTGTCATGTCAGTTATTCTCTTCAATATTCATTTAAAATTGTTAGATGATTTAAGGTACATGTAAAGCATTCTGAAATCAATACATTTTTGTATAATTACACGCTTGCATGTATGTTTTGTGAAATACTTTTTATGATAAGGGTATTCAATTTTTTTAAAAATTCAGTTAAACACTGTTCGTGACATGCACATTCCTGTAATTAAGTAAGAAGACCTTTAGGTTTCATTGCTTGTTACAGTACATACATTGTACTAGGTCAGTTCTAAATTACTGATAGTTTATACATAATGTTTTATTTTCTCATTGCTGACAGAAAAGTGAAGAAATAAGCATACCAGGTTGCTGATATTTGAATAAGAATTACATGATGGTCAATAAAATGCTGCATATTTAATAAATGAGGTTGTGTTTTAGTGTCGGGAGAGAGGTGTTACGTACAAAGGGTCTCTGAAAATACAGCTTATGTGGTCAGTCAATGACAACATCAGTGGGACTCTAGATAAAGAAATTGGAACCATCCCTATCATGGTCAAGGTAACTCACAGAAAATGTCAAGATCATTTCATCTTGTATGGACAATAACAACCTCCTTGTCTACCAGCTGTCATTTTGGATTTTATCACACTTCTCAATAATTACTGAAACGATCTTATCAAACCTAAGTGTGTTTGGGTCTAAGTTGTGCCACACATTTCAGATTTTGACTTTTGAAGGTATTATCATTATTTACCAAAGGGATTATCTAGAATGTTTTATATGAAAAAATTAAATCAGACCAATGAAAGGGACATCATGGTAAAAATTTTGTTATGATTGGACATGCTTTATACATTTCTTGTTACATGCGTTTCTATGCTATCTCAATATTCACAGTCCATTTCCATCAGCCATCTTGACCACTTCTTTGGTTTAGGAAACCTCTCTCACATTTAGCAATGATAATATCACACCATAATTTTGAAATCAAGGCAGTTCATTTGTAAACACAAAAAAATAATGGCAGGCAGAAATGACAGTAGTAACACAGTCAATAAAATTCTGTTTGTCAGCGCCAGATTTTGTAATGGTTTTGGAAAATATTATTTGAAAACTCTTAAGTCAATTCAGAATTATGAGATAAGTAACATTAATCGCCTACATATTTGGCAGGAAAGCTATTTCTGTTTACAGGTGACAGTGTTTTGTGCGTATGTGTTATTATGTATGAGGCAAAAATGTACATATCCAGAGTGTTCGTGAACATTTAAGGATTTCATTTTTGTTATTGTTAATTAACATTTTCATGTGCATACTTCAGCAATAACCAACTATCATTCTTCATAAGGTGATACACTTGATATTCATATATATGCAATGATAAAAAAATCTGTAAAGAAAATTGCTTTACTGTGATATCGTTGTAAGAATGACTTGCTTTATAAAGGATTCATGGTTTAATGTGCTTGTCAGTCCTTTGTAATCTTAAGATGATCATTTTTACAGACCATTGTTAAGCTAGTAATGAAGATTTCTGCCATATTAATCTAAAAAAAAACCTGACAATTATACATAGTTTATATTACTTCAGATAATATATATCAAAGTTGATAATTGGTATAAAATTAATTACAGGTGATAATGTATATTTGTGAATACAATGTACATATATATTATATATTATCATTTGGAATTGCGTAGTTGATGTACTCAATCACTTGATTGTTTGCAGGGCTCTCACACCCCATTTTGGGACTGGGGCCTGGGCCCGGGGCCCTTAGAATTTGGAAAATTAATGGTGTTTTCCTTAGAATTGGGAAAATTTGGGGGCCGAATATCGGCCCCAAATCTTGCAGATCGAGAGCCCTGGTTTATATGTACAAACACTGTCATGGTGTCCATGTGTCGATGTCCTATTGATGTTCATATGGTTGGACATGTTAGGTATTGCATCAACTTTTATTTGCCTTTGTAAATGGCGTTGACTATAATTGGTCGGGCGGATGTTAGTTTACCTGCTTGTCATACTATCTATTTCATGTGAGTGAGGGAAAGCATGGAAGTAAGATTTTAAAACAACCTTGCTGGTGGTGTTCAGGGCTTTTTGGGTGATACCTCATCGCTGTCCTGGACGTATCCATTGTCGTCCTTGATGACACTGTACAGACAACCTCACAAAGCTATGTACAGCTTTGGAAGGGCTAATCTCTGTCGTATTTTGAAATAAATATACAATAAACAAGGGAAACATGAGTTGTGTTTCATCCCTATGACATGTATGTATATGTATATTTCAGTGTACATTGTAAATGAAATCTTATGTAGAGTATATATTCATGCCACATGTATGTTGTGTTGATGTTTTTACTTTTTCTCCTTTTAGTCTGATGGCTGTAACTTGAGTAAGCTGAGTCCAGCTGATCTGATAAAGAGAGGCGAGGAAGCAGAGGTACATAGTAATGTTATAATACTGTGTGATTAACTTCTACCAGATATTCTAATCAACATTATAATACTCACTGCACAGGTGAAGAGATATTCTAACCCTGTCAATGTTGATTTTCCACTGCTACTACAATGACTTTTCTAGGTCACAGCTTTATGAATAAATGTGCTAATGAGGAAGAAATCTTGTATCATCTTCACATTTTTATACAGCAGGCCATTAAGCTCAGCCATCGTGACAAGAATTGCATTTTTTTCCCCCTGAACAGCTGTTTTATTCAACTGTATTTGGAAGAGTTATTTCCACTTGTTTCATATTTATTATTGTCTGAAATCTCTTGTTATAGCACGTTTTGAAAGTTTTTGCTTTTTGCAGCATCTTAACTCTTGTCCAGAGATTTTTTATTGTTCCGTATGGTTTTCGATGTTAATTCTATCATTTTTGTGTAAATTTGAAAAATAACTGCAGCATTCAAATATGCAGATTTTTCATATAATATTATTGAGATCAGAGAGTTTTTCTTGTTTTTGTTTTCCTTGTTTTTTCATGTTTTATTTTTGATTACAGGAGATGGGAGGTTATTTTGTAGTAAATGGACTGGAAAAAGTGGTCAGAATGCTTGTAATGCCCAGACGTAATTATGTAGGTATATAGATTGTACATATATTGGTAAATTGTTACCACTTATCAATATCCATGGTTGGATTTTATTAGATTTTTCAGGAATTTACTATTAGACAACAAATGAAATTCTATTTCTAATAAACCTTTGTTTATCAATTTCACTTATGCAAATATTTGAAATAACATTCACTTCTGAAAGACCCCAGTATGACATCTCAGATAATGCACATATCCTTTCTACTCCAAAAGCTTATACATATCTACTACCTGTATATGATAATATCCTTCATTGCTATTTAAATAACCCATCTGCATGACACACAAGCACAATGTCAAGCACTAGTTACTGTAATTGATATTTTGTAGAACTTTTTTTCGGCAGGTCAGGAACACCATTTCTGAAATATCGATGAATCCATTGCAAAGAAATTTAATGGGTTAGATCTGAGTGAATTTCACAGGAAAATTGCAATGAGTCAAAGACTCAAATATTTAATTTCCAAAGATTACTGTAGTAAGCTATCTGCATTATATTTGCTGTCCACCTGTTATAACTTATGAATTAAATGTATGTAGAGCATTGTTATCTTGATACCTTTCTGTTTGACAGCCAACCTGCATGACACGCCCATCCTGGAAGAACCGGGGCAAACAATATACAGAGTATGGTGTATCAATCCGATGTGTTCTTGATGATCAAAGTGGCATTGTAAGTGATTTTGCTGACACAGTGTCACACAACAACATGACACATGGTATTTGATTTTCTCCCTCCAAGTTTAATTTACTTGGAGTTGTTACATAGTCTGTCCTTCACTCTGCTCCCTATTCACTTCCTCTGCTTATGTGCGGAACTTATCATTCTCAGACTCCAATGATCTACCATGGTAGTTTTTTTCATCCAGTTTACTTCACACATGCTGGACTGACAGAGAGTGAGTACCTGTCTGCTTTATTCAATCACACCACCGGTATATAGCCATGATGTATCACACTGGAGTACACATCCCTCCCGTTATCAGACTTGCAACAGTGCCTGTCCCTCATGGGTTTTTTTTACCTTGATCCAGTGTTACATGACTTTTGACCTAAATGCCACTCTCTATGATAACCACCATTTGAAATTTACAGTTATTTACTTATTGTCACTCATATTTGTTGACATAGATGTTTGATTCGCTGTAGAACACTATGTAGGGCAAGAAAGCATAATGTCAGAGGTTTGGTGAAAAAGAATGATTGTTAAGACTTCTCTGTCTGTGTAATGTTAAATTAGTGGGTACTGCGAGTAGTGAATTACAGTATTGGGTATGTGTATCTACCATAATAAGTGTTTTTGTTACAGACTAACATTCTACACTACCTGTCGAACGGGATGGCAACACTCAGCTTCACTTACAACAAGGAAATGTTCTTTGTACCTGTCATGTTTATTCTCAAGGTGAGCAACGCTCTCATTCATAAAGTAAAAATGTGATGCTTACGTACAGAAAATTCAAACTGGGAAGGAATAAAGAATCTTATTTGTTGATAGATTTATCATTATCAGCTTCTGATATTCATCATTTACATGTCTATATAAACACGTCCCCTTTATTAGTAACTTTTCTATGGTGCACTTTGTACTTTTATTATTGTTGTACACGTTGTAGAAGTAAGTTTATTTTTGGCACATTTCAAGTTGACAGTATTGTTAAGATATGATTACTCTTCTTACAATTTTTTTATGTCATATATATAAAAGAACAGTGGTGCTAATTTCCCAAAAAATGATATTGCGTTTAAATTTGATGGCATCAAATGAAAGTATGTTTACAGGTTCTGTACAAGATTTGAAGTTCATGTACACATCCACAGACTATGTTCTTGAAATGATTTGAGGCAGATTTGCATAGATATTTGTGTATGTGTTTGGCAGGCTCTGTTAACAGTCACGGACAAATACATCTATGATGAGCTGATCCAGGGGAAAGAAGATGACACTTATTATAAGGGGTAATTCTCTACTAAGTATCACTGTAAACAGAATAACTCATCGTTAGTATTACTGAATGATTATTATATGTGAATATTATTGAAATCTTGAAAATACTACTACTGCTTATCAAATATGTTTGATGAGAAATTGGAGACGGAACTGTTACCTATATGAGAATTGTACATGGCATCAGTAAAATGAATCTGCGGCTCCTGTATAGGGTAAGTAGGTTTAATACTAAATTTGATTTCATGTAGTCTACTGATATTTATTACAAGATATATGCATTTCTACCTCTATCACTAAACATAATTATCTTTGTTACCACTTTATCACTAGTTGTATGGTAGCAATGCTACGGCAGGCACAGGATGAAGGCCTTCTGACTCAGTCCAGCATCTTGAAGCTAATCGGGGAACGCTTCCGCATCAAACTTGATCTCCCAGTGTGGTATTCTGATACAGACGTAGCCAGATACCTGTTAAAGTAAGTGTTTGTGTATAAAGACTTGTGCTGAATGCTTTGTGTTTGAAATTACCAAGAAATGTGTCTGGCTGTTGTGGGAAGGTGTAACTTTGAACGTCAAGAACCTTGAAGTTTTATTAGGCAGATGTCAGAGAGTGGATGTGAATAGAAGGACTGTAGGTTGACAGATTGTACAGAGCATTGAGGTGGATATTAGGATTTTGGGTTGATGGATTGTCCAGAGAGTGGAAGCGGATGTCAGGATGTTTAGTGGAGGGATTGTACAGATAGTGGAAGTGGATGTCAGGTTGTTTAGTGGAGGGATTGTACAGATAGTGGAAGTGGATGTCAGGTTGTTTAGTGGAGGGATTGTACAGAGAGTAGAAGTGGATGTCAGGATGTTTAGTGGAGGGATTGTACAGAGAGTGGAATTGGATGTCAGATGTTTGGTTGAGAAATTATACCGAGAGTGGAAGTGGATGTCAGGGTGTTTGGTAGAGGGATTGTACAGAGAGAAGAAGTGGATGTCAGTATGTTTAGTTGAGAGATTGTACAGAGAGTGGAAGTGGATGTCAGGATGTTTGGTTGAGAGATTGTACAGAGAGTGGAAGTGGATGTCAGGATGTTTGGTTGAGAGATTGTACAGAGAGTGGAATTGGATGTCTGAACTTTTGGTTGAGAGATTGTACAAAAGTGGATGTGGATGTTAGGAGACTAGGGTGACAGATTGTAGAGCGAGTCGATGTAAGGACTTTGGGTGGACAGATTGTACAGAAAGTGTGTGTGGATGTCAGGACATGTGTTGACAATTGTAAAGAGAGTAGAGGTGAATGCAGGACTTTGGGTTGATGGATTGTGCAGAGAATGGCAGTGGGTGTCAAGACATTGGGTTGAAAATTGTATAGAGTGAGTGGAAGTGGGTGTCAGGACTTTGGGTTATGATATTGTTTAGAGAGTGGAGTTGGATGTCAGGACTTTAGGTTGTGATATTGTATAGAGAGTGGAGGTGGATGTCAGGACTTTGGGTTGAATTATTATGGTGAGAGTGGAGGTGGATGTCAGGATTTTGGGTTGAAATGTTATAGTGAGAGTGGAGGTGGATGTCAGGACTTTGGGTTGTGATATTGTATAGAGAGTGGATGTGGATGTCAGGACTTTGAGTTATGATATTGTATAGAGAGTGGATGTGGATGTCAGGACTTTGGGTTGTGATATTGTATAGAGAGTGGAGGTGGATGTCAGGACTTTAGGTTGTGATATTGTATAGAGAGTGGATGTGGATGTCAGGACTTTGGGTTATGATATTGTATAGAGAGTGGAGGTGGATGTCAGGACTTTGGGTTATGATATTGTATAGAGAGTGGAGGTGGATGTCAGGACTTTAGGTTGTGATATTGTATAGAGAGTGGATGTGGATGTCAGGACTTTGGGTTGTGATATTGTATAGAGAGTGGATGTGGATGTCAGGACTTTGAGTTATGATATTGTATAGAGAGTGGATGTGGATGTCAGGACTTTGGGTTGTGATATTGTATAGAGAGTGGAGGTGGATGTCGGGATTTTCGGTTGTGATATTGTATAGAGAGTGGAGGTGGATGTCAGGACTTTGGGTTGAAATATTATGGTGAGAGTAGAGGTGGATGTCAGGATTTTGGGTTGAAACCAAACTGAAAACATTTTGATTCATTAAATTCAGAAATATCTTTCTTCTTCAGGCATTGCATTGCAATTCACTTGGATTCCAATACTGATAAGTTCAACCTTTTATTGTAAGTATAAGCTGTTGAAAAATCCAATGTTTAGAGCAAGGATTATTGTGTTCTTAAAAGGTCCATACAGATATGTTAGTATGGTCACTATAGACTTTGTGCAGGTTTTGTAATACTCATGTAAACATACAATCATCTTATGATTACTTGGTAGTACTTAAACAATTGATTTCAATATATGCTGATACAGGCTTTATAATTTTCAATTATCGATTGCTGTTATTACTAATTATTTAAACAACTTTTAATGTACTGCTGATATTTAAACAACTTATCATGTACTACTGATATTTAGTCTGATATAATTATTTCAGTATGTAGTAACCACATTCAAAGGTGTACATTTTTAGCCCACCATCATCAGATGCTGGGCTATTCAAATTGCCTAAGTCTGTGGTCATTGGTCCATCCATACGTCCTGTCCATCGTGCGTCTGCTGTCCGCCCATAAACCAATATTGTTATTGCTATTTCTTGAGAAGCACTGGATGGATCTTTCATATTTCATATTTCATATGTAGGTACCCCTTGGTCCCTAGTTGTGCCCATTTGATTTTGGGTCTGATCAGAAAAACAAAATGACTGACAGGCAGCCATTCTGGATTTTGACTTTGCGAGATTCTTATCGCTATTTCTGAAGAACTACGACATAGATCTTTCTCCAATTTTGTGTGTTTGTTTCCTTTGATATCTAGGTGTGCATCTTTGATTTTGGCACTGATCAGAAAAATAATAACCAACAGGTGGCCTTCTTGGATTCAAAAGTTTGTTATTGATATTTCTCTCAAATTTCTTTTATAGGTTAATCTTGGTCCCATTTTGTGCCTGTTTGATTTTGGGACTGGTCATAAAAAAAGAAATTGCTTTCAGGTGACCAGGTTTGATCTGGCAGGTAAAGATTATCATTGCAATTTTTGCAAAGGAATGTTCAAATTTCTTATCATTAAGAGCAAAAACAGAGAAGAGAAGAGAAAAAAGTGAAAAGATCTAACTTTCAAAGAGCAAATAAAGATCAAACGACAGTGGGCGACAATATCTCTCTGGGATCTCTTGTTATGGATGATCAGGTGGTGCAGTGGTAATGCTTTTCACTTAGCTATTCAGGGATGCACTTCCCAGAATGGACATGAATAGGTATGGGGTCACCTGCTGGATTGTGTGGGTTTTCCCCGGGTACTTTGGTTTCCTCCCACAGTAAGACCTCTGTGCACACTTCCATAAAGGCCAACAAGAGTGATTAATATAAGCTGATAGCTTGTATCACAATTGTTGTAAAATAAGTAAAGTTTATATATATTTATCTATATATACATTTAAAAGTCATTCATACAAGTATAATAACTGAATAGATACTACATTAGGGATAGTTCTATAACTGATCTATGTATTGTTGTCAGATACATGACAAGAAAGCTGTTTGCATTTGCTCGAGGAGAATGTGCAGAGGAAAGTGCTGACAATACTATGTATCAGGAGGTGCTACTCAGTGGTCATCTCTTCTGTATGTTTGTCAAGGTTAGTAAGAGGTTTCCAATAGATTTACTATTTTCATATCTTTTGTCATGTACATACTTTCATTCTATTCTAGGAAAGTTCTTTAATTTATAGAGATAATTTTAGATAAGGAGTGGGACAGAACCAACCTTCTGGTTGTCCTTAGTTGTAGATTTGTATTTGTTGTAGGAATCATAGATGGAAAGCTAAAAGTATTCACTAGAGTCCCTTGGGAAAGTAAATACAAAGTATACAGGAGAGAGAGTTTCAACATCCAGATTTCATACATTTGTAGTTTTTATGCCCAGTTTACATGTTCCATCCACCTAGGCTAGATGTCTGACTTCTAGCTTTGTGACCTGAAACGTGAAAACCAAGAATTAAATTATGAAATCCAGGTATTGATGCTCCACCTTCAGTAACTTTTGTACAGACATACTTTGAATTAAAATGATGACAAAAATATTAATAAAATTGACTGATAAAAGTTTTATTTTGCAGGAGAAAATTCATGACTGGGTGAGAAGTCTAAGAATGCAGGTAGAGAAAGAAGCAAAGCTGAAGGACAAAGCAGGCAACAGCTATAGTGTAAATGATTGTAAATATTGTTTTCTTTTTTCTGAAAATGTCACTATATTCCTTGGTATATTTCTGAATTCTTTGATAAATAATGTGAAAAACAGATGACTGAAAAGGATGCTAGTTTAGTATTGTTTTCAAAATGTAATTTTTTTTCTCAAACTGAATGAAAAAGAACACTGAATATTTCCTATTTCTGCATGCATAAACACACTAGATATAGATGTTTCAAAACAGAAAAAAAACCACACATTTCAAACTTGGAAAGTTGTGAATTTTCAATCCATTAGCTACCATACGTATACTGGACGTTTTCAAGGCAGGCAGTGGATAGAAGAACTCCTTATATGCCATTTTTACTTCATTTATTTCACATGTTGTCATTATTTTGTAGTCATAACAAATCTTGGCAATAACGAAACTTGCTTGTGGCTAGTCCGCTACAGTAAATTGATGCAAACTACCCACAAAAACCAATTTATCTGCCCCTCCTACTCACACATTTAATTTTGGAACTTCCCTAAATTTATCATATGGAATATCCTTAATTCTTTATTTGACAAACATTTTGATACAAATGGGCTTTTGAATTCATTCACTGTATATTGACTAGGTTAGTAGAAAGAGGTTTATTTCAAAACAAAAATGCTTTTGTTCTTTTTGTAGCTTCTTTACAAAATACCAGTCGCCGTGTCGATGCAATTACAAGGTCTGTGGAGTATTTGATGACCACAGGAAACCTGATATCTCGAACGGGACTGGGACTGATGCAGGTATTAGAACAGTTCTGATTGTATGACCAGCCTATTGGTTTTACATGGTTGAACATAGTCCAGGGATCAACTTCATATCATATCACATAGTATTGTCTCCTACCATTACTGGATAATTCTGTAGAGAATGATACATAAATCCCAATCTCCATTTGAAAGAAACATGTTGACAACTTTGGAGGAGTCTCCAGTCACGATCACTTGTCAATGCCTCTCCAAAATATCACTTGTTTTATCTGTCTACTTTTGTGAATAAATACCTTTACAGATCTAAAGTCGACATAAATTTTTTAGGGTACATACACCAAGAATCAATGTAAACAACAATTTAGACAGATAATCCAGGCAGAGATACAAACCTTTTCATATGTCTCAGCTTCCTGATTCTCTTTAACAACTAGACTGGAATGTGGGTGGGGCTTTTACGTCATCAATGGTTGAAAGGGACATTTTGATTGGCTAAAAACAAATTAGGGACCTTTTAAAACAAAATTGCACAGTTCTCAGTTTTTATTTAATTTTGTTCATACTGTGTTAATTACATTGTTTTTAGGCACAGATTATTTTAGAATAGACATGGTGTGTTTGTATGATGCATATACTGCAGATTAGATCTTGATTTTGTCATTTTAACACTTGACTTTTTTTGTGTCGAAACAAATTCATGATCTTATCTCCAGTATCTGCTTAAAAACAAGCATTCTATCCCCTAAAATGCAATGTATATTTGTTATATTTTACACAAAAGGTGCATATTTTCTAGTTATTTGCACATTCTATTAATCCTTTACAGTAACTGTCGTAAATTGAATAAGTTCCTCAAGTTCATTGTTAAAAGTATTTAAATATTTTGAAAAATGTTTTCCAAGGATGGAGAAGTTGATCATTGATGGAATGTTGAAATAGGAACCATCAACATATTAAACTAATTTGTAAACATTCCTTGGTAATTCATGGGTTACATGAAGAAGTTGTCCTACATATATTATCTGTGATGTTGTGCCTCCTACTACTAGGTTACTTCTATTGTCGACAGACTGTTGTTAGAGCAATCATGTAATGTTCATCTTTGCTTATTCCTTCAGGCGTCAGGTCTAACCATTGTTGCAGACAAGTTGAACTTTCTGCGGTATATCTCTCATTTCCGCTGTATACACAGAGGTTCCTTCTTCGCAGAGATGAGAACCACTGCTGTCAGGAAAATGTTACCAGAATCCTGGGGTAAGAAGATATCTTGTAACTTGTGTGTTTAAAACAAATTGATCTGAAAGGGAAAAAAATCAATCTGTTAAATAAATTTGTTGATTAATGATATATTTTTATTTTTACATTTGCATGACAATGAAAGAAAAGTATACTGGAATAATCTGTAATCCCTGTTAAATAAATTTGTTGATTAATGATATATTTTTATTTTTACATTTGCATGACAATGTCATTATTTAAGTTAAGAGAGATTTGTGTACATAGGGTTAAGATGCCAAACATTATAAAATAGGTTTCGTTGCCATGACAAACATCAGTGTTTAGGCAAGCTGTGGCCCTTGTGATTCAATTGTATTGACTCTCTTGATCATGAACAACATGTATTCCACCCATTCTGATTTCCAGAAATGCAGGCACATGCAGAATATGTCAATTACTCTCAGAATAACACTTTAACTTATCCATTGACTCGTTGCAGTGTGCGAGGGGTATTGGTCAGCTACTAGGCGACAGTTCTAGTTAAGTTAAGAGAGATCTGTGATTTAGGAGACTGTAAATGCCAAGGCAAGCTCATTGTGATTATTGTGGGGATAGAGATGATGCCAGTTCAGTATTAAAATGGCTATTCCAACTGACATACAATATCACCTGTACAACAAAGTCATTTATATCAACTGTAAATACCATAACATGATGATTCAATGCTTAAGTAAATATAGAAATCTATATATAATCACATACCAAAAAGATTGATTAATGAATAGAATTTGACAGATTTGACAATATCATTGTAAAAAATTCATGATTTCATGAAATATATTGATAGTTCCTTAGATTGCCTTTGATTTATCAGATGTATTTATATTCCATTTATGCAAGTGCAATATTATATTTCAGGATTTATCTGTCCTGTGCACACCCCTGATGGAACTCCTTGTGGCCTAATGAATCACATGACTGCCCTCTGCCAGGTATACTGAGAAGTGACCACTTATTACACAATTTTATCACTGTTTCAAACTAAAACCTGAGTTTGTTGTGTTATGGTTAAATCACATAACAATAACTTGTATAGAGAAAGACACAATAACTATATATCTACCGCATGTACACCAAAGATAGGCAATCCAAGACGGGTACGTCTTAATGACTTTCACACAGAAGATAGATGGTGGCATATCAAATGTAACCATGAAAGGTTTTATGTATCACTGTTTCAAAGTAAAACTGGAGATTTTGTAAAATAGCATAACAATAATTAATTTTGATTTTTATATTATCTTTATTAAAGATCAGGTATATACATGGAGATACAATTACCTTTATTAAAGATCAGGTATATACATGGAGATACAATTATCTTTATTAAAGATAAGGTATATACATGGAGATACAATTATCTTTATTAAAGATAAGGTATATACTTGTATCTCCAAGATGTATGTAATCAGTATGTGATGTAATGTAATAATTCTAAATCAGAATACAGGCACATCAAAACATAACCACACAATAAAGTGTGTTTTGCAATAAATTTTTATGTTTCCTTTCACAAACTGATCAGATAAACATGTGCCACAAATGTGGAATTTAAGGATTAAAAATAAGATATTATTTATAGTTTTAAGTAGATCACAACTGGTTAGTGAAATAAAAATTTAAGATCAAGTGTGTTATGTATAAAACTGTCATATTATCACTTGTTCACAGATAATTAACAAATTGTACAGTAGCATCCACCTGCCTAAGTTACTGTGTTCCCTGGGAGTGACCCCATTAGATGCACCTCCCGTGGGACAGTACAGTGACAATTATCGTGTTATGGTGGATGGGAAAGTCATCGGCAACATACACAACAGCTTAGCAGAAGGAGTAGCACAAAAAATCCGTGTCATGAAAGTGGAAGGTCTGAACAAGGTAGGAGTACATCTGATGGAGGAGTAAAGGTCATGGAGATGTTAGAATGTGTACAATATATACAATGTAACAGAGGGTTTATATTTAACAAGTGAAAGATGGAAGGGAGACAACTCCTACATCTTGTAAAATCTCATATGCTTTGAATACAAATCATCCAATCATTCACTGTCAAATGACCCTAAACTCTTAAATGCATGTCGACCTCAAAAACAAGCTTATCCTGAAAATGAGCCTGTAGTTTATTATGTAAATAAGCCTGCATTTTTACTTACACTGAAAGAAAATAAGCAGCATCTTTCTTTTTCAAGTTTTTACGGTAAATTGCTGTATCAACAGACATTTTTTTCCTAGCATTTATTCACCATATCGACAACTTTTAAAATTAGTTAGAAGGCAAACAATGCATGTTGATAGAATTTAATTTTGATGACTATACTAATCCAAATTGACACAATGTAGGTGCCTCCAGTAACAGAGGTTGGGTTTGTACCAAAAACTGAATTCGCCAGTCAGTACCCTGGTCTTTATATCTTTACAACTCCGGCAAGGATGATGCGACCTGTTCGAAACCTGAGCCTGCAGAAAAATGAGATGGTTGGCACATTTGAACAAGTTTATATGGACATCAGTTTAAATGATGAGGAAACTCACCAGAATCAAAAGGTTGGTATATGTTTGTTGTGTAATATTTCTGATGATTTAGATAAAAAATTGGTAACCTGACAGAATCCTTTTCACCTCACTATGAATATTTTCTTCGACATTGATTGAAGGCAAGATTAATATAGATATATTACGATATTTCCAATGATTAAGAGTTAGGATATTCTCCACTGACGACATGTATTGTCACTGTTCTATAGATCGTGACCCATCAGGAACTCACAGAAATGGCAATGTTGTCTACGGTAGCCTGTCTGACACCATTCTCAGACTTCAACCAAAGTCCCAGGAATATCTACCAATGCCAGGTAAGTATAACATTTACAAACAACCTGATAGTATTATTTTTAATCTTCTGGATGAACATACTGATTTCAGGAGGTTTTTTTTGCCACAAATTACAACATTTGCATCCAAAATGGTGTTGTCTAATATTGGCCACTAAGTCATGATGTTTGGTACTCAAGCTATGAAAAAAAAATGATTTTATTTTATATTAGTTTTAAGCACTTGTACCATTTGCCAAATTATTTGGATCTAACTAGCTAGATTTTAATTACATCATTGGAATTCTTATCACAAATCTTGAATTGAATGAAACAGAGCTTTTTTTTTAATCACCAAAATATTAGGTCAGAAGAAGTTATGTATGAAACAGCTGTTTTGGAATAAAAGAAATGTTTCAGAAAGATCCATTTGACAAATTATCATGTGAATTTCTGAATGATGACATTGTACTTCAGTTATTTGGACGTATTTTGTTGTTTATAGATGGGTAAACAGACAATGGGTACACCTTGTCATGCTCTTGGACATAGATCCGACAACAAACTCTACAGAATACAGACGCCCCAGACGCCCATGGTTCGTCCCTACATGTATGACTATTATAACATAGATGAATACCCAGTAGGAACCAATGCTGTAGTAGCTGTTATCTCTTACACAGTAAGTATATAAACTCACAATCCTTAAATCTACAGACCTCCCCTTACACAGTATATAAACCCACAATCCTTAAATCTACAGACCTCCCCTTACATAGTAAGTATATAAACCAACAATCCTTAAATCTACAGACCTCCCCTTACACAGTAAGGATATAAACTCACACTGTCTTTATATCTGTAGACCCCATGTTACACAGTAAGTATATAAACTTATACAATCCATCAGTCAATAGGTTTTCTTCTTACTTAGCAAGTATTAAACTCATCTGTCCTTAGGTCCCTAGATGTCCAGGGATGTACATGTACTGTTTTGTAGTCTATTTACCATCAGTAGGATATGAATCATTTTGAATTCTATCTACTAATGATCGTTATTTCCTCTTTTGTATTCTACTTACCAGGGGTATGATATGAACTTTTTTGTATTCTGTTTACCAGGGGTATGATATGAACTTTTTTGCATTCTGTTTACCAGGGGTATGATATGAAATTTTTTTGTATTTTGTTTACCAGGGGTATGATATGAACTTTTTTGCATTCTGTTTACCAGGGGTATGATATGAACTTTTTTGCATTCTGTTTACCAGGGGTATGATATGAACTTTTTTGCATTCTGTTTACCAGGGGTATGATATGAAATTTTTTTGTATTCTGTTTACCAGGGGTATGATATGAAATTTTTTTGTATTTTGTTTACCAGGGGTATGATATGAAATTTTTTTGTATTTTGTTTACCAGGGGTATGATATGAAATTTTTTTGTATTTTGTTTACCAGGGGTATGATATGAAATTTTTTTGTATTTTGTTTACCAGGGGTATGATATGAAATTTTTTTGTATTTTGTTTACCAGGGGTATGATATGAAATTTTTTTGTATTTTGTTTACCAGGGGTATATGAACTTTTTTGCATTCTGTTTACCAGGGGTATGATATGAAATTTTTTTGTATTTTGTTTACCAGGGGTATGATATGAACTTTTTTGCATTCTGTTTACCAGGGGTATGATATGAAATTTGTTTGTATTTTGTTTACCAGGGGTATGATATGAACTTTTTTGCATTCTGTTTACCAGGGGTATGATATGAAATTTTTTTGTATTTTGTTTACCAGGGGTATGATATGAACTTTTTTGTATTTTGTTTACCAGGGGTATGATATGAACTTTTTTGCATTCTGTTTACCAGGGATATGATATGAAATTTTTTTGTATTTTGTTTACCAGGGGTATGATATGAACTTTTTTGCATTCTGTTTACCAGGGGTATGTTATGAAATTTTTTTGTATTTTGTTTACCAGGGGTATGATATGGAGGATGCCATGATCCTGAACAAATCATCATTTGAAAGAGGCTTTGGACATGCAACTGTTCACAAAGCAGAGGTATTATATATTAAATATCATTTCCCTCTTTATACTCTTTTGTCATTAAGTAGTTACATAATTCTAACATTAAACCTTGACTTATAGAAATAGCCTTAACTATATGCTAATTAAGTTTTGATTGGACCAAATGTTCTTATGAGTTAGGAGTTCTTTATAATTTCAATATTTCAGTCTGAGATTCTGATTTCATTTAATGTTTTATTTTCCTCTGTCAGATAATAAATTTAGCAGCAAAAGACCGTTCAAGTCGCGGCCAGAATTCAAGTCTTGTCTTTGGTGAGTTAACTTATCATCTCATATTATCTGAGTATGTAGCCCATGAAGTATATTTTGAACAGCTATATTGTCAGAGTAATTACAATTTTACATGTTCAGGCTGGAAATGAGTTTATCTTTATACAATAAAATTGAAGAAAGTAAACTCTAACATGACTAGATGTTAAAAACAGATTTTGCACATCAACTATAAAAGGCATCTTTTTTAGGCTGTAAGGGAGATAGAAAGGTTACTGAAGGCAAACTTGATGTGGATGGATTACCATATATTGGAGCATATCTACAGGATGGGGATCCCTACTACAGGTATGGGGGAGCTGTTTTAAAAATAGAACACTGATCCAAATACTGTCAGATACTAGTGTTACTATTATTGGTTCTATTTTTAGCTCCTTAGAGTTAATGGCACATAATGAAAACATACCAGTATCAGCACTGTTGTGCTATTCTAGTGACAAAAACAAGTGTAATTTCTCAACAATATCCCAGTACATATGGTTATACAGGTAACAGCTTATTTATTTACATAAAGACACATTGGCTTAGGTAAAGTGGAAATCAGTTATTTAATAATGAACACTTGTATATCACACAGTCAGGTGATACAAGAAAAACAAATGAAAACACTCTCAGAGTGTGATGTACATATATGGTAATATCATAATATATAGAAGAAGTAAGCTGTAGCTGTTATCATAAAACAGATGGTTTTAAAGCAATCATACCAGCCATGTTCCTATATATTACACTTATTTGGCAAGATTATTCCAAAGGGGAACAACTCCCACTGTACGAGGTGTGCAGATAATACACAAGCACATGGTTTGTAGGGTCAGATAAGTTGATCTCGTGGTGTGATATGCATCATATTCTGTGTCGGTCTTCAGATATCAACATTCCCCTTTAAATCTTTTCTCCTGATTAATGATAATGTGTTTGTGAAAAGCATTGTATACAAGGTGAGCGATGCAGGCCCATTGGTTCTCTTGTTACACTTCTTTACAGGGTGTAGTGTTGGGATAAAACTGCAAAACAAAATTGTTCCTTTAACAAAAACAACATCATTAGTTATTTACATAGATACAAGACCTGCAGTTCAATAAACTCTTCACAAACAAGTAGAGGTATTCAGTGATGATCAATGAAATATTTATTATGTCTATGAATTGAAAACTTCTAACATATCGCTAGATTATTAGAATTGTGTTGATATGCTTCTTGATTTAATTTATTCATTTGGTGTTAATGAATATAGAGATAGATAAAAGTTTTATTATCAGACACGATTTTAAATGTGACAGAAGAAACATCAAAGAAAAATTTTCATAGTTGATGAAGTTGGTAATCATTTTACAATTTAATCACTTCTAATTACCCCTGATATTACTGTGTGACCCTTGTAATAATCTGTATCGCATCTCCTTTGATGTCTGTTGTCACAGCTATTACAACCTCCAGACTGGTGAGAGCAGAGTAGAGATGTACAAAAGTGCTGAGCCTGCCCATGTGGATTACATAAAGATCCTTGGTAATGACCTTGGTACCAGTGAACTCAACAAAATCTGCATTGGACTTCGCATCAAGGTCTGTAACTGACTTTAGTTTCATTTAGATTTCAAAATACAATCAAATCAATATGGTACAGAAGATATAAGCCTGTCCTTGTGAGATCTTTGAAGCTGGAAAAAGACATTGTTTATTATTAATACATTCTGTATAAAACACAACACTTTCATTGAAAATAGACAAACAAGGTAAGGTATGTTAATATGTTAGATAATGTTAACTGTTATATTTGATGGGTCATTAACTTTTGCCCTGTACTCATATCCTGATGTAACATAAGTATTGTGACACAAGTAACAAAAATTTCACAATTTTGATATGAAATAGAAATGCAATGTCATTGTTTATTTAGGTTACGTAGATAATTCATTTTGAGCAACATCCACTTTATATATCATTGGTAAAAGTGTTGCAGTTGTTCAGAGAACTCGTTTGGAGAAATATCTTTATTTTTCCACATCATTTACCACATTTTTGGGGTTAAAAATTTTGGACAATAAATCTGCTTGTAGAGAAGTATGGATCTGTAGGATTTTCAAATCATCAGTTACTTTCTGATTTAAGAAATAATATTTCTGTTTTGTAAATATGTTTTAAAAAATGATGATAACATAAAGATAATCCCTATTACTATGTAAATATTCTATTTGAAAATATCGTAAATTTTACGATATTTGACAAATAACCAAACCTGAATGATGATTTTATGTGAAAAGGGTTTGATGATAAGGCTTGACAATTGTGTGGTACATGTTTAACAAGCCATGTTTGATTTAACAGAGAAATCCTATCATAGGAGATAAATTTGCAAGTCGACATGGACAAAAAGGAATTTGTAGGTAAGTTTTACCAGGATGCATAAATTTACTGCATTATGGCTTAACATATATATCACCAGTTGATGTGGACAGGAAGGATTTTGTGAGTTTTAGATATATATTGAAGTTGATAACGTCTGTAAACAGCACATTTGAAAGGTCTTCCTATGGTTAGAATCACCAGCAAAACCACTTTGCACCTCATTCAAAAATTTGAAATGCACTACGACAATAGCATGTATGGTTTGTTCTTTTGAGCCTTTTGGGTTTAGGGGTTTTAGAAATCCTCATATATCAATGTCTACATCCATATCAGAGATCCATGATGATGCCAGCTGTTGTCAAGTTTCATTTGGTTAGAAATGGGTTGTGACTTTATTGTAGCAGTTAAGGCTATTGAACCACATTGTCATTTATCTTCATACAAATCAAAACAACATTTCAATTCATATTTTCACTGGAATGGACAAGCCAAATGTTCTCACAGGTAAAAAGTTTTTCAGCAATGTGAAGATATTAATTGCAGTTTAATCGCCAAATAGGTAATGTGGTTTAAATAAATTGAACTCAAATTAATGGTTATTTGATATGTCATGTGGTTGTGTTAAATTAAAATCTACTTAATGATTACTTTTAGTATGTTGTGGCCAGTGGAAAACATGCCATTTACAGAAAGTGGGATGACGCCTGACATTCTGTTCAACCCGCACGGCTTCCCATCAAGAATGACCATAGGTAAGTTGTCAGAATAATGACAAACATGGTCTTACAGACTATGATGGCAGGACAGTGTCTTACAGACAATTATGGCAGGACAGTGTCTTACAGACAATGATGGCAGGACAGAGTCTTACAGACAATGATGGCAGGACAGTGTCTTACAGACAATGATGGCAGAACAGTGTCTTACAGACGATGATGGCAGGACACTGTCTTACAGACGATGATGGCAGGACAGTGTCTTACAGATAATGATGACAGGACACTGTCTTACAGACGATGATGGCAGGACAGTGTCTTACAGACAATGATGACAGGACAGTGTCTTACAGACTATGATTACAAGACAGTGTCTTACAGACTATGACGGCAGGACAGTGTCTTACAGACAATGATGGCAGGACAGTGCCTTACCACAATGATGACAGGACAGTGTCTTACAGACAATGATGGCAGGACAGTGCCTTACCACAATGATGGCAGGACAGTGCCTTACAGACAATGATGGCAGGACAGTGCCTTACAGACGATGATGGCAGGACAGTGCCTTACAGACAATGATGGCAGGACAGTGTCTTACAGACAATGATGGCGGGACAGTTTCTCACAGTTAGATAATGATATTGTTTAGTTTTTAAAACTGATATGAAGAATGGCAAAAATGTAACAGTTTAGATGGCTTAACATTTAATTTGTCTTTTCCTGAAGCTTTTATACTCAATTATAAACAGAATAAAGCTTAATAAATAGGTTATTTCAACATAGCAAAATCAATAATTAGAGACTAGAAAGAAACAAGCAAATATTAATACATCTTTAAATTATTCCTATTTTCACACAGGTATGATGATCGAGAGTATGGCGGGTAAGTCTGCCGCTAGCCATGGTCTTTGTCATGACGCAACACCATTCAAGTTCTCTGAAGACCAGCCAGCTATTGATTACTTTGGAGATATTCTAACAAAAGGTATGAACGCTAAAATTTTAAAAAAATGATATCATTTAAAAATATTATAAAATTGCAGTTTTATTCATAGGAATTAGTGATCAGCTGAAATTGACTTGTCACTAGAATTAATTATGAGTAGTAGATTATAGATGCACATAACTAATTTAATTTCTGGATTTACTGATGATTTCAGCGGGCTATAACTACTATGGGACTGAGCGAATGTACAGCGGATCTAGTGGACTGGAGTTGGAGGCGGACATCTTCATAGGTGTTGTTTACTACCAACGTCTACGTCACATGGTTTCTGACAAATTCCAGGTACAGTAACCGCAGAGACACTGGTGGAAATTAAACAGGTTTTTTGTGATGTGGTTTTGTGTTGACATAACTGTAACTTTGGCAGGGTTGAAAGAAAAACTTGAATAAAATAACACTAATATCTCATAATTATTTGATGGTATTGTTTTTTTTTAATGAACTTATTTTTTTGCAATAAACATATCCCAAAAGTTGGGAAAGTAAACTTACATGTATGGTGTCTCATTTAGCTCACTTGTATAAGTATTTCACAACAGGTGAGATCTACTGGTCCTGTTGATCAGCTGACCCACCAACCTGTTAAGGGAAGGAAGCGTGGCGGAGGAATCAGATTCGGGGAGATGGAGAGAGACGGCATGATTGCTCATGGTACAGCCTTCCTCTTACAAGATCGCCTCCTTAACTGCTCTGACAAATCCATGGTAAGTGACAATATGATGTTGTAAAATAAATTTTTGGTAAACAAGTCTTTAAATTGTGAAGAATGTTGTAAGTATTATCAACAAGACAGCATAAGTGAATATATCTGCAAATCAGGAAGTTCCAGATAAGGACGCTGATTCCTGTATTTCTGACATCTTCTATCTGATCAGCATCTCAACAACATCTGAACAAATAGGTAAGTAAGTGAATAATCAGTTACCCTTGTATGGAGTTTCCAAAATTTCCATGTATTTAATAGAGAAAGATTGATCAAATACATGGAAATTTTTGAGTCCATACGAGGGAAGCTGATTATTTGTTTATTTATTTGTTGAGCATGAGATGCTAGTCAGTTAGTGACTGGATTTTGTTTATTTTTTCATTTGTTGCTTTCAAACTTTTAATAAAGTCATTTTGATGACATTGCAGGTGCATGTTTGCACAGAGTGTGGAAGCTTGTTATCTCCCCTTTTGGAGCGCCCAGCGGCAGCTGTTGCTGCAGTAACGTCAGAAATGAGACGTAAATGGACCTGTATGTTATGTAAACGTTCAGACACTATTAATGTTATAACTGTGCCGTTTGTGTTCAGATACCTTGTGGCAGAGTTAGCAGCCATTAATATCAAAGTACAGCTTGAGGTTAAATGATACGGTAAATGTCAACTCAAGGACATTTGCAAAGGTCAAAATTACATTTCTAGCTTCTCTGTTCTGGTAATTAACATGTTCTGTGATTTAAAATCATCATGCCAGGAGTGGAGAACATGCATTAAGGCTTGATATCAGCTGATCCAAGAGATGACTGTCCAACGTCCTAAACCTGTCAGATAGATTGTCCAAGAAAACTGCATCAGGTTCCTCAGTGATGACTACATGGTGTGTTTTATTAGATAATTCTCTCTCAGTGGTCAGAGTGCAGGTCAGTTGTTCCCAGAGAGTGTTCCTGATATCATCTTGGTTACTGTTGCACTGATCATACTACTTCATGTAGACTTTGTCTCACTAGGTACATAATAAAGCTGTACCTGTTTATTTTGATTGTGATTTTGCTCAACATTACAAATGTTCTTGGCCATGTATAAAATTGTGCTGATACACAGAGGAAGGATACTGGAGATGTCCTTTGCATATACATAATTATGTTTGTGGTGTTAATGTACAGATTACTTCTCAGTATGTAAATTCTATTCAAATGGAAATGTTGTTATCTTTATAAGAAATTGTTATCATTAAAATCAATTACAAAAATAAAGCTAAATCTTCCTTTTATTTCTTAAATTAACTGTTGAATTCACATTAGAATTACTTCCCTTACTATGTGTGTGACTTGCTGTGCTTGCACTTTGACCTTACTGATGTTAGCATTGACAGCAGGTCATGTTATAGATAAACTGCTGTATTTATCAATGTCCATGCTTATGTATATATGTCTTGTTAAAAAGATGAATTGTCACATTGTAAAATAGTTTTTTTTAGATATATTGACAATGTCATGTCCAGTAAAAACAATGAATTCAGTTACTATGACCATCATATATGTATACACACCAGAACTGGAAATCATGGACACAACACAGATAATTTCTACATCATCCACTACATGTACCTAAATCATTTCCTACAATGAAACCATTAGGAACAGCCTTCAATCAAACTGGTAGTTGTGAATTTTCCATTTCTATAAAGTAAAATCTATGCTTCCTCAATTTCTGATGTTCAGGAGTCACAATTTCCAAGTAAGATATTTCTTTACATTTATTCAAGATTTGAAAATTTCAAAATCAATTTTTGAATCTAATATTTTGAAATACTGTTCATACCAAACAACAGACATTATCTAAATACATACTTGTGTGGTAACTATACAATAGAAATGATTATAGTATCTTCTTCCTTTTCAACCACCCTATCGCTCTTTATTTAGAAGAACTAGAACCAGATACTAGAAGCCTAGAGTTTCGAAAAATGCATGGTGACGGTCAGATGTGTTCCATATGGTTATCTTGCCTGGTGGTTTTGTTATAAACTTCGTTCTCTTTATGGAACATGACACTACTTGCATTGATGTATTTGAACTGACCAAGATTTACATGGTGAATGTCGTCGTTGAAGACATTACTGATCATATTCTCCTTGTATTTTTAAAAATTCCATCAGTTATCAGTATTAATATTTTATTTATGTTTTGTTCTTATTTCTCCGATTTTACATTTAGAAAATATCCTGTTGGTATGTCTGTACATCTTATTTTCTCATGTTTTGATTTAGTCATTTTGAAATTAATGTTTTGTTGGCTACACTTATACAATCAGTGTGCAGCATGCAATCAATCAATGCTTTCAGTTTACAGTAAATTATATTGAAACTTGAAAAACTGGATAATTAGGTTTGATATAATATACATCAGTTACATTGTATAGTGTTTGTTGAAAACATCACTTTACGAGATATTTCGATGATAGAAAATAACGATCAGATATTTCAAACTACTATTTTTCAGAATTTAGCGAGGCACATAACAACTTATCCATACATGTAATTTTTGTTTTAAATTAGATGATTCATGTGTATGGAATCAATTTCTGATCAATGGGTTGTGATTCACCAGTTACAAAACTGTGACATTTGTAGTTTTCAATCAATGACAAAAGTGATTTGTTTTGAACATAGCACATTTCGATTTCTTACGACGGAGATTGATATGGTAGACACCATATATAAATGGTTGATATTAATTATAGGTGAAGAACCTGTAAAATACATTTATGATTTAATAGTTTTGACACCTGATTAATTCACCTTCCTTATACTTGATAAAAATTGATGTAATTTATATAGAAATCTGGAATAGAAAATAACAAATTTACTTTTATTGAATCAGAAACATAAAAGATTCTGGTTAGATGTCCCTTGATATATCAAGCTTATACTTTTCTGTTTTTATCGTAAGATTCCATCAGCTGGTGTTAAGTATAATTGAAAATCTGTATTATACGTCCCTGGTTAATGTGATAATTAATATTTATTAAAATCTCTTTTTCCTTCAATGAAATGGTTAACTGCACCGAAATATTCGTAGAATGACAACAAGACCAATCTGTGGTCTATGATGATTGTAATATGTTAATATTCACTGTGTTGTACATTCACCACTTGATCTCCTCATGGAATGTTAGCTCCCTACCACAGGTTCAAATTGAAGTTGTTTATGACCTGAAATGAGATAGAAATTTCTTACAAGAATAATTTATCATAGGTGTTTATGAGTTTATTGAACAAAAAAAAAGTAGACAAGTTGATATGAAATTATGCATTATATATTACTTTGTTGATATTTACACTGTATATACATATACAATATATGTTTATATCATTTACCTATACTCTAACTGACATAAGTAAATTATGTAAAACATTTTCTTGATAATCTAAAAATCTTGCTCAATTCACAAAGAAGGTTATGTAGCAAAATGGAAATATACGACAGGAATTCATCCAAGCTCTGAGTTTAAATGATAAAAAATGTCAATTATCTACACCAGTTTTGTTTCTTATCCTGCATTCAACCAATAGCTATGATTTTCCCCTTACAATATTTTAGCATATACATGAATTCACTAAGATTAGGTTTTGTATATATTTGTATGGTATGAAATCTTATATTTACGTACATCCGGATACATTAAGATATCCCAGGATTGCCTATCGCATAAGAAACAGTCCTGGAAACAGTCCACGCCTGAGTAGGTACAACACATACCACATGGTGCTAGAAAATAATCAATAGCAGCTACATACAAACAAAATAAAAACATGTTTTGGATTCATCAATTTTATAATGATAGTGATGTATAATGATATTTGCATACGTATATAACATTATAGTGTGTTTGATTATTGACTTTGACATATGTTGTGTGTAAAAATTAGTCAATTAAAGTCTTGCAGCTGACTTGCACAAGACTGGGTAATGGAGTCTCAGCTTATACTAATGCTGTGGTAGAGGGTGGCAAGGGTTTTGGGATGGGATGTAATCGCATGGTTTACTTCTGCAGTGGTACAGTTATATAGAGGGTAATGGAGTCTGGTAACTGAATTGCACAGTGGTTGCTAAAGTAAAGCATTTTTGTGACTGATTGATAGAGAAGTGTGTGATGGAGCCCTGTTGCTTACTTCAGCAGTGTTAGGGGGTGATGAAGTCTCAGTGCTTACTGAAGCAACGGTAAACAGATAATGGAGCCTTATTAAATACATAGACTATGGTAGACATGTGATGGATTCTCACTGAATACTTAGGCAGTGTTACATGGGAAATGGTATGTCTTTGTTCACTAAGGCAAAAGTAAACATATAATAGTCTTGTTGAATACTTAGACTGTGGTAGACAGATAGTGGGTTCTCACTGAACACTTAGGCAGTGGTAGTCGGGTAATGGAGTCCCTTGCCTTACTACGGTGGAAGACAGGATATGGAGTATCAGAGTGTCGGATGAGTAATAGAATCTTGTAGCTGGCTTAGCCAGTGGTAGAGGGAGCAACAAAGTCTCATTGTCATTATCCTGTCAATTGTTAGGGAGATAATGATGTCTCTTAATCTTGCAGTTCTAGATAGTGTAATAGAGTCTGGTAGCTTACTATGTAACTGAATCGCACGGCTTTCATACAGTGGTAGATGGGTAATTGAGGTGTCTTACTCACATGGTGTTAGAGGGGGTAATTGAATCATATAACACACTCAGTGGTAGATGGGTAATTGAGGTGTCTCATATCTTACTCACACAGCGATAAAGAGGAAAATGACATCTCGTGTCTTACTCACATGGTGTTAGAGGTGATAATTGAATGGTATAACTTATACAGTGATAGAAGGGGTAACAGTGTCTTGTAGCTTACTGCAGCAGTTGAGGAGGTTATGGAGTCTCATACATAAAGATGATTATGGAGTCGTGGAGCTCTCTTACCCTGTGGTAGAGATGGTAATGGTGTGTATTACTTTACTTACACAGTGGTAGATATAGTAATGGCAGTTAATGAAATTTTATAGATTTCCTAAGCAGTGGTAGAGTGGTGATGGAATCTTATAGATTTCCTAAGCAGTGGTAGAGATAGTAATGGAATCTTATAGATTTCCTAAGCAGTGGTAGAGTGGTAATAGAGTCTCGTATCTGATTTATACAGTAGTGTAGGGTGTATTGGTTTATCGTAGCTTACTTACGCAGTGACAGGGGAGGTAAGGGAATCACATCTATCCGTGATACTGGAGGAGACACAAGTGGATCAATTTTGGATTCTTCCGGTTCAAGAGTAGATACTGTAACCTGTTTTGCTATGAAATGAAATATTATAGTTATCAATCAATAGATGTATAGGATTAACATTTCATTGGTGAAAACAATAGACATTTATCAGTTTATCATGAACGACAAATCTTTGGATTTAATGACTACCGGAGGAAAAATGGTCTAAACTGAAATGTAGTGAAGTGCATGTAAAATGCTGTTACAGTGACTTACGTTTTTCTGTTACAACCTCCTTCGTTTTCGTACGAGATTTTGGTTTGGTGACTGTCCCAGGTTTTCGTACTAGACGGAAAAATAAATTTGAGAGCTGTTATCTTTATACAAGAAAAAGTACATTTTACGCAAGTAATAAATGAAGATAAACGAAGTGATGTTTGTGGACTAAACTCATTCGTTCTATCATTTTTGCAATAATTAGCGGCTTTAAATCTAAAATGCAAACAACACAAGTCTGTATTCAGAGAACCCGATGTTGAATCCACACTTAAATGGAAGCATGTGCATGACAGGTATGTTCTTGTATATGCAGATGAGCGCTTGTTTCTCAAAACATCGCGATAACCAATGGTTTATGAAAAATTTTAATTGTTTCCACTGAACAAACACGAGTGTTGAATGCAAAATTAACACTCCAAACATATCATTCCGATTCGTCTCCGTAAAATAGTAGCCGTGAAATAAACAAATTCTGTTTCCGATTTTCTTAAATTCATTTTTGAAAATTTTCACCAACTACTGGTTACATTGTATCTCTAAGCAGCCTTTGAACAACTGATAATCTCTGCAGACATATTTCCTTATAACAAATTAAAGAACTAGGCTTGTTCGATTGCGAAAGAAAATCTGCCTACATATTATCCGATCTTTCCGAAGTCTGAATACTGGTTAATCTTTCTTTAGTATTATAGTAAGTAAGTTTGCGTATCACTGATAAGGTTAAGGACCTCCTTGTCTTGGATACTTAAACTTCACAATAATCCATACAATCATGTTTTTATTGCTGGCTTGTCTAGCTGTTTAAGCAAACCTTTGTCCAAACTACTTACTACTATTCTTAGTACTATCAAATCTAGGTTGCAGTCTTATTGTGATACTGTCTGCTCAAGAAGTGGAAACAAGGGCACAGAATGGGAACGCTTATAAAAAATAACATTTGCATTTTGAAAGCATTTTATATAATTCTAGTGTATCAATAACAAAGACGAGAATATTTATGAGGAATGAAATAGATCTATTTCCTCTACATTAGATTTTGCATTGACAAAGTGGCGGGAAGTCATTTGACATAAAAAAAACCCAAAAGTTGGAAAACAAATAACAGATACTGAGAATGATTGGGAATGATTTCTAACAGGCGAAATGGTATGAAGTGCAGCCGTTAATTTGGATTTGAGTATACAGGATGTGAAACTCCACTTAACATATAATTTTTAGAACTGAAGCATGGTGACATTGCTCCAGAAGATTAACAAAATGTACATAAATGTTAATCAGAATGCTACACTAGACGTGTTTGACTTGTATTCTGACCATTGTTACTCCAACATACCTGTTCTGACCTCGACTGTCATTATATGTTACGCGATTCAGTTACCTCATTATACGTAATTGATACGATACCCGACGAGTATTGAAGAAGGAATCCTGTCCGGGTCTCGGAAACATCACTGAAGAACTCCAGGAATACCTCCTTCCCGGTCACGTTGAAAGACAAGTTGTCCCAGACGTTACTTTTACACTTTGTAAAAACAGTTGTTGTTGTTGAATTTTCTTTATTTTCTACGAAAGCACAAAATAAAGCAAAAAACAAACAAAAAACAAAAACAAAACATTTGCATCAAAAACTCTCGTCTTCATAAATGACGACGTGAGATATTATACTTCAAACAACTCAGGAGGTAACACTGATATATCGACCAAGGAAATATTGTTGGGAATAAAGCTTTACATTCTATAACAGATGTCTGAGCTTTTTACTTTGTCACTGTTCATGTTTACATACTGGTGTAGACTTTGTCACTGTTCATGTTTACATACTGGTGTAGACTTTTACTTTGTCACTGTTCATGTTTACATACTGGTGTAGACTTTGTCACTGTTCATGTTTACATACTGGTGTAGACTTTGTCACTGTTCATGTTTACATACTGGTGTAGACTTTTACTTTGTCACTGTTCATGTTTACATACCGGTGTAGACTTTGTCACTGTTCATGTTTACATACTGGTGTAGACTTTTACTTTGTCACTGTTCATGTTTACATACTGGTGTAGACTTTGTCACTGTTCATGTTTACATACTGGTGTAGACTTTTACTTTGTCACTGTTCATGTTTACATACTGTCACTGTTCATGTTTACTTTGTGTTCATGTTTACATACTGGTGTACTTTGTCACTGTTCATGTTTACATACTGGTGTAGACTTTGTCACTTCATGTTTACATACTGGTGTGACTTTGTCACTGTTCATGTTTACATACTGGTGTAGTCACTGTTTTACATACTTTGTCACTGTTCATGTTTACATACTAGACTTTGTCACTGTTCATGTTTACATACTGGTGTAGACTTTTACTTTGTCACTGTTCATGTTTACATACTGGTGTAGACTTTTACTTTGTCACTGTTCATGTTTACATACTGGTGTAGACTTTTACTTTGTCACTGTTCATGTTAACATACTGGTGTAGACTTTTACTTTGTCACTGTTCATGTTTACATACTGGTGTAAACTTTTACTTTGTCACTGTTCATGTTTACATACTTTGTCACTGTTCATGTTTACATACTGGTGTAGACTTTGTCACTGTTCATGTTTACATACTGGTGTAGACTTTTACTTTGTCACTGTTCATGTTTACATACTGGTGTAGACTTTTACTTTGTCACTGTTCATGTTTACATACTGGTGTAGACTTTGTCACTGTTCATGTTTACATACTGGTGTAGACTTTGTCAGTGTTCATGTTTACATACTGGTGTAGACTTTGTCAGTGTTCATGTTTACATACTGGTGTAGACTTTTACTTTGTCACTGTTCATGTTTACATACATACATAGTGGTGTAGACTTTGGTGTTCATGTTTACATACTGGTGTAGAACTTTGTCAGTGTTCATGTTCATAGTTGTACATGTTTACATACTGGTGTAGACTTTGTCACTGTTCATGTTTACATACACTTTGTCACTGTTCATGTTTACATACTGTTCATGTTTACATACTGGTGTAGACTTTTACTTTGTCACTGTAGACTTTGTCACTGTTCATGTTTACATACTGGTGTAGACTTTGTCACTGTTCATGTTTACATACTGGTGTAGACTTTGTCAGTGTTCATGTTTACATACTGGTGTAGACTTTGTCAGTGTTCATGTTTACATACTGGTGTAGACTTTGTCACTGTTCATATTTACATACTGGTGTAGACTTTTACTTTGTCACTGTTCATGTTTACATACCGGTGTAGACTTTGTCACTGTTCATGTTTACATACTGGTGTAGACTTTGTCACTGTTCACGTTTCACTGTTCATGTTCACGTTTACATACTGTAGTGTCACTGTTCATGTTTACTTTTACTTTGTCACTGTTCATGTTTACATACTGGTGTAGACTTTTACTTTGTCACTGTTCATGTTAACATACTGGTGTAGGCTTTTACTTTGTCACTGTTCATGTTTACATACTGGTGTAGGCTTTCACGTAGTCATAGTTGCAGTCCTCGTCTCCCTCCTCAATATCATGAAATAGTAACTCTATATAAAGGTTGTGCCTTTTCGACAGAGCCTGGATTGTCCAAAAGCAGGTCTTGTTTCTGGATATAAGGAAGTAACTCATTAAGTTTTAGCATTAAAAGACAAATGAATAAAACACATGAAATTTCCAAACCCAACTCCAAATGTCGTATAGAATCACCTAATAAATATCACAACGTTACCAGGATGCGAATACAATGGCGTTGTTGCAAGTGGTACAGCTGTTAAATTGTTTAAATCAAACAGGGTCAACATACGATCGTTCACGAAGCCGCCGACCCCGTAAAACGACCAATAGGATTGACCGTCGTATACGATTGCCGCAGTAGACAAAAGATAGTTCCCAAACATTCCGCAACATGTTGAAAACCGACCAATTGAAAGCGTCCATAGATTTGACCTATTCATTGCGACGTAGCCATAACAATTGGACCATAGATAACGTTGTTGGGCCTACAAGAAAACAATGTTCTGTATTCAGTTGAGTCTTGATTATTTTTCTGCGATATGATGCGTCGCAAAACGGAATGTCTTACTGGGGGAACTTCAATTATTTCGGGCGAATTTTGTGGAGGAGGAATCGTACCAAATTGTGATGAAAATGTAATGATGAATGACTCCACGTCCGGTATCGTAGAGAATGTACAAAAGACACGCAAGTGAATAGCACCTTTTAATACAAATCTATAGTTAGATACTGTAGAGCCAAATAATGAATATATTACGGCTGTTTCGTCGTTTTATGGCTGGCCATTGATGCTAAGGGAATCAATTTTGTAGCTCAGGAGAAGACCGAGGAAAATCCAAAGTGATCAAAAGAAAAGTTAAAAACTAGACAGAGAGGTGCACTAGCCCCCTTGATTAGATAAAGTTCGGAATTTTTATCTATCAAATGATTTTAGAACAACGTCAAGTGCATATTCTAGACCGTGCCGTAATTTTATTGAATTAGAAATGTGACGTGCAGGTTACGGCAAACCTCGGAGATTTAAAGCCCACCAATGGTTTCTGCCACCTGCTATATGTGTCTCAAAGATTGTGCAAAGGACACACAAGCGGATAAGATATTTTAATACAAATTTAGAGTTAGATACAGTAGAACCAAACAATGAACTAAACTGCACCATACAGCTGTTTCGGCCTTCTAAGAGTCGTCAGTGATACCTAGAACTATCTTGCAGCAGAATAAGGTGCCAATGATAGAATGAGGATCAAAATTTCCTGTGCAACACACCAGAGAATGTCACAATTAGCCGTCAGTCTTGCAGGAGAATGCCCAAGCATTACAAAAATAAATGCAGAAACGTATCCGCTGTTTATCGAATTCCATGCGCCAATGCTGTTTACCTCGCAATAAGTAGCCATAGTCGTTACTACCGGTATCACATTTGAAATTGACCCCACCATTCCTTAACGTCTAATAAAGCCAACTGAAAGCAACGTTTTTCATATAACCACGCCGGCGGTTGTATCTTAATCGATCTCTTTATTCGTGTATGATTAATAAGGATTTATAAAGAGACTGTGTAATTAGTCTCAACTTAACGGCTCACCTCTCGTTATTGATCTAATATATATGGCACGCGCATTTATAAATAACACAAAAGGATACAAAGGAAGATACAGAAAACCAATTATCAATTTAACAGGTGAGAATGAAATAAAGGAGTAATTACATATTAGTTAAATAAGTGTGTTAGACAGAATTAACATACGGCGGGTATCCATCTGGAAATCCTGGTGACGTCAGAAACTTTGGACTCGTAGTAGCCAGCAATGTTTCGTTCTGACAATCCAATGTAGCTGTGAGATTCAACAGGAAACGATTAATGATAAATAGTATACAGTCAAAGCCTTGTTTCAAAAGTGTATGAAGATTTTTTCATCGTCGCGTTTGAATCTAGCTCGTCAAATGTGATCAACAGTATTTTGTACATTGTTGTATGTACTAATTCTATTGTCTAATTCATAGATATATTATACGCATATGTTGTTATGCAGTTATCTATTTCACTAGCTTCAAACAACTTAACGCGTAATGTATATATATGTAGATACAAAATGTATTTATGTAAAGAAAACATCACCTATATGGTAACATTTAATATATACATAAGGCAAATCCGATAAGTACATTTCTGTAGACCACTTATGGCAATAGCAAAGACACACACATATATGTCACGTTTCAATACTAAAGTGTAACTATAATTACTTAATATTTCTTTCTGACGATTTTAACTCACGCTTTGCGGTAGTGATAGCCAACAGAAAGATGGTAAAACCTCTCTCTCCCTTCTGTTTTTTATTCCCTGATGTAAAGACCACCAACGCTTTTCCACTCCTCGCGTCCTTTACATCAGTACTGCCGGATTGGTCGGTGAAGTTGTATACAAGGGCAGCGGACAGGTTCTGGAGAGGGCCTTAACGTATATCAATACATTCAATGAATGCTCTTGATAAGGCCTTAACACATGTCAACGTATTCTATAACTGCTCTGGGTAGGGCCTCAACATATGTCCGCACATTGTATGACTTTTCTGGGTAACGCCTTAACACATGTCAACACATTGTATGACTGCTCTGGGTAGGGCCTCAGCATATGTCAACACATTCTATGACTGCTCTGGGTAGGGCCTCAGCATATGTCAACACATTGTATGACTTTTCTGGGTAAGGCCTTAACACATGTCAACACATTGTATGACTGCTCTGGTAAGACTTTAACACATGTCAACACATTGTATGATTGCTCTGGGTAGGACCTTAACACATGTCAACACATTGTATGACTGCTCTGGTAAGGCCTTAACGCATGTCAACACATTGTATGACTGCTCGGGTAAGGCCTTAACACATGTCAACACATTGTATGACTGCTCTGGTAAGGCCTTAACACATGTCAACACATTGTATGACTGCTCTGGTAAGGCCTTAACACATGTCAACACATTGTATGAGTTTTTAAGGTAGGGCCTTAACACATGTCAACACATTGTATGACTGCTCTGGTAAGGCCTTAACGCATGTCAACACATTGTATGACTGCTCGGGTAAGGCCTTAACACATGTCAACACATTGTATGACTGCTCTGGTAAGGCCTTAACACATGTCAACACATTGTATGACTGCTCTGGTAAGGCCTTAACACATGTCAACACATTGTATGACTGCTCTGGTAAGGCCTTAACACATGTCAACACATTGTATGAGTTTTTAAGGTAGGGCCTTAACACATGTCAACACATTGTATGACGAGTATTGATATTGACGTTATCCTTAGAATTAGAACAACACGATTTCATTATGATAATATGTATTGTTCAACTGGAAAATTTTAGATTCATAGAAACATATTTACAAGTGGAATTTTAACTTCATTTACGAAATAAAATCACAGGAAGCATTCACAACCTATTTTTCCAAATTATGTGGTTTCATAAATTTCGTATGGAATTTTACTTTGCTTCTGTTGGACAACAATTACGTTAATACACTGTGGTATTATACAACAGAAAGAAGTTTATATAGGGAACATACCGTCATATATGCTTATGAAGTCGTCATCCCCTATCCAAACTCCCTTTAACTGTACCAGGATATGAGCTGACGGGTGTGGTGAAAATATTTTCCAAGAGCAGGTCATGTTGCTGGAGTAAATAAATGTATCTTTTCTTAATTTGAAGCAATGACATAAGATAGCAATTTGTGTTTACAGCATTATATTATGTTCAATTGAGGGATATTAATTTACAGATTTCATCCGACGATTTGGACTAAATACAAAATACAAACTCTATAATTCTAAATGTTTATTTTTGTAATATCGCTGTTAACATGTTGACTTTATGAAATAAATAAAAATGAAAGTCCTTTATTAGGGACAAAAACCATTCCAAGTTGTTGCATGGAAGATGGTGATTAAAGTATCAAAAACGTAACAATAAGAGGAGCAAGCTTTGTCCGTATACTAGCAGCACCAATTCATTCAAATATGAGGTCAACGGCCAGAACTACCATATCCTCCAGTCGGTATCCATCACATCGGCCAATGTAATGTACTTAATTACGTGTACCAAGTGCTATTTTTATGTTCGGGAGACCAAAACACAACTTAATCTCAGGATCAACAATAACTGATGTTCTATCAAACAGAAACGGCCGGACATTTCAACATGCAAGTTTAAATAGCCGTTTTTTCTGCCCTCCATATGACGCCCTTTGAAACTGGTGATCCTTGCTTTTTTGAGGTAGATATAGGTACCAGCTAAGATAAGAGTGACCTGATCACAATAAAATACTTTGGTAAATACAGTATTGTGTGTGATATATGGGTTGTACCAAGGTATTTCGGGACAAATAAAGTGTTCAATATAACAGCATTTTGTGAAAATATCTTTACAGTGTAGCCATTGAAGAGATCATTAAACTTAGGAATATTCATACATGTGTCGTTATACTTTAAACATTGAGAACATTTCCTATGTGAAGTGGCATTTAAATTATCCTCAATATCCTCAGATGAATAAAACGTAACCTCAGAATCATTATTACACTGAGTGTCGCCGGTTACGTCAGGTCGTGGTCTTTTTCTAAGATACCTAATATAACACTTAAGACAACTCTACAGCGCTCGAAATACAGGTAATGGTATTCTGTATCTTAGGTAGATAAATGAAGCAGGTATAGAAACAACAAAACAAACTTATGAATAGGTTAACTAAGGTGTAGTACTAAATGTACTAAATGCAATTGTAGTGCAAAGTAGCAATAGAAAGTTCCCGTTTGCTAAAGATCAATTCTATATCATTCAATGGTGAATTGATTCTAGGGAAATGTGTTGCCTGAACAACAAGTCTTCACTAAATAACAGCATCAGCTACAACAGATTAATAACGTTTATATGATTTTTTGTCTTAGTGGCATTGCTCATGTTTTGCTCATTAGCAAGCAAGTACACATTTCAATAAAATGTGTATTTAGTGGCTAATGGGCAAAGTTCGCCAGTTCATGGCCTCAGATGGTTGCCTCAGCTTCAGCTTGAATTTTGTAGGAGAGATATTACCACCTTACTGATTCATTAATGATGCACAGAACGCCGCTCTGATATACATTTCATATTTCATAAAAAGAAAAAAAACAAGAGCAAGTACAGGTCATGTGAGCCTTTCCTGTTTATAATCCAATGAGGAAAAGTGTGGTTTAATATTGTTTTCAATCAAAGGCACATCGAAATAATGAATGAAATTGAAATAAATCAATTTTTGGTTGAAAAAATAACACTCTGGATAAGATGTTAGAAATAAGAGTAATTTCTTGACTCTGCATTCACAAGAAAATTATTTGTAATATTTAGCTCAGAGAATGCAACATACATTAATGAAGAGGATTTGACTCAATTTGATAATTCAGTATATGTTTTTGAACAAGATTTGGGGTAAGATGTGCATTCTGCTTCACACCCAAGGGCAAAGATTAAAAAATAGGTCATATTACAGGCTATATGTGACTTTTGGATTTTTAAGCATCCATTCTTTGTTTATTGGGGTACTACAAATAACACCCAATAAAGATTAAATTGGGATGAATGCAAAAATTACATGACCGCGAAACAAGTCCTCTGAACTATCGAAAAAAATCGTATTGAAAAATTGTAAATATGAATCGTTGCCGTTTTCTGTAAGCTCATTCTTTTTCATGGGAACTTTAATCTAGCTGAATTAGTGGTAGCTTTTAATTAAATGTCGACGAAAAGATTAAGAGGTAAAGATTTCAACGTAATGAAGCCCCATAAGAATATATGATTTCACAGTATTATGTTATATGGTTATGTAAGCAAAGACAAGATGACACAGATACCAGTACCTGTTGAATCCCCCTGTACTGATGATATCAATTTCTTTTCTTTTATAGGCAGACAGCTCCACGGATTGTTGTGTCGGTTCGCATTGTGAGTTTACTGGAATGCAATTTGTCAAGGAAACTTAATAAAGTTACAAATGTAAATCAAGAGTAATAATGATGGAATTTGTCATATTATATGAAAAAATCTTAAGTTCACGATACAGGTAAGCATAGCGAAGTCTGACAATAAATTAAACGTTTATTCATGATAAAAGAATTCTAAACTTAAATATTATACAAAATAAGGTAGTGAGCGCATCTCAGTCATGTCTAGTTTTCTGAATATCCTTCCAGGCCTTCAGGTCTTCTGATTACAATAATCCTTATTTGATAGAATATTTTTTTCATCACATCATGAAATCGTTTTGTACATATGTCACTGATAATTATGCAATAAAACACTTGGAATAATGAATGAAATTTATAAATGAAAAAACTGCATCAAAGGTTTAATCATATCAAAGGCAAAAAGTGTGAAAACCTGGTAGGGACGTATTTCCTCTATCCTCTCTGATCTAAAATTATTAATTACCACAACATTTAACTTGATATATTGAATTTATTAAGGTATAAGGTACGATTATAATTTTGACTACACGTCATATTTCGTAAGTATCTAAATGTTATTACCAGGTGGCAGCAAACCTAAAAATATTCGCAAGCAAAGCTTTCATGCCGGCAATATTAAACGATTATAGAAAATACCACATACATAAGGAAAACATCTTAATTAACGCGTTTCATGCCAATTATTGTCTATAAATGTAGCTAAACTTGAACTTCATGTAGTAAGATTAATGTGTTGATATTTCTGTGAAATTCAGCTTCTATCAGAACGTTTGACTTCTCCACTCTATACACAATTAAACCTCATTCTAGATTGAAAGACCGTATTGTTTTCTGGTTATGAGGTTTTCCTAAGAAAGGTAAACAGAGGTACAAATACTATGGTTGTGAACTATAATGAAGCGTATATCGTGAAAAAGACGTCAAACTCGAAGAAGGAATATACGCAGGACGAAATCATCATAAAAATTATTGAGAATATCAATGTCGAGTTTGGTGGTAAGATCTTCTAACAGACTATTGGTGTAACTTTGGAAGCTGTGTCCCTCTTATCAAAACAGGTCACTAAGACCTTGCAATTCGGTTAGTTTCACTTTAAGATACATTGATGACGTCTTGTCTTTAAATAACAAGATATTTATTGATCAAGTCCATCGTATGTATTCACCAGAATTGGTGACAAGAGATGCTCTGCTACATCAGCCGCTTATCTCGTTCTTTCCCTACAGCGAAACCAACATGAACAGCTCTTCACCAAGCTGTACGATTAGAGTGATGATTTCAATTCAATTCAGAGATGCAGGGTTATGAAAATTAGGTTTGAATTTTGTCAATTGTCAAAAAGATCTCATTGAGAACTATACTACTTTTTTGTGCGATATAAAGACAGATGTGTTTGATGCTCGTTAGTTTGCCTGTTTGTTTGTGGTATACCTTGGGCTCATTTGAGATCGTGATATTACTTATATGGTTTGTTGAAGACTTACATGGCCCGTATCATTGTGGATGCAGAAGTCGCTTACTCTTCCAGAGTGCTTCATATGGAGTCTTCGTGAAAAGAATTCTTTTGTTCATATTTTGCCCTAGTTTAATTGAAATTGGATTTCGATTATGATTTTGCTCACGTGTCGGTATTTTCTGGAAGGTGTTGGTACTATTTAAGATATATAATAATGTGCGAAAGACACGCCAGCGAACAACACACTCTACAACAAACTCAGAGTCAGATAGTAGAGCCAAACAATGGGCTAAATTGCATCACACAGTTGTATCGACCTTCCAGGATTCGTCAGTGATATCAAGTGCCCAAATATTGAAGCCTAGATGGCGCATGAGTAAAATAAAAAAAATAAAAACATCATGATCTACAAGCAACTGTTCAGTCAAACGGTTGGTATATTTTGTTATCCATCGAGAACATTTTTTGGTTTTATATAGCCCCCAAAATAAAAACAAGATATCTCTTCAAAATTTAGTACACTATGTGTACACGTACACAGCTAATGTGAATATATCCTGGTGTAGGTAACCTGTTAAGTTATCCTAATAATTATCATCTATCTTCAAGAGAAATGTGAGGTAAAATACATTAACACTCATATATAGGATTCTTAGTCAGCACATGTTACTTTTATTTATAACAGCTTAGCACACGTCTCATGATTATGACAAACTTATTAATTTTACTTTCTATACGTTCCACGTCAGCAATTAAGCTTTTGTTCAGTTTTCAGAAAAGTATGATAGTGTTTTCAAAGTATAAAATATTCTTAAAGACGAACGTTAAAATTCTAGTTCGGACACACACAAATATAATAATGAGGTATAGCTTCTATATAAATATCAGTATCATCTACTTGAAGTATGATGCATATACATTATATATATAAAGACATTACAGACGTGGTAGACGACAACCTAATCTTAATTGAAATACAAATTGTTTAGTAACCGTTTATAATACACTAAAGACTCACAAATGGACAGCACCTAATTTGAAAATGAATACCCACAAGTCATCATATTCATAATTCAAATTCGATAATACCAGGGCAAAATATGATCAGATGAATATGAATCGTATTTCAAACAGTATCAAATACTATTTCACAACCTACCTTCTGATGCTAATACCACAAATAAAAGTGTAGTCGAAGGGATCAGCATTGTTCAGGG